GGGGACTGGGCATTATTCTCACATAACCCCAGTCCTCTACCAACTACACTGGCTTCCCATCGAAGTCTGGGCTCAATTCAAGGTGCTGGTTATTACCTATAAAGCCCTTAACGGCTTGAGACCTGGATACCTGAAGGAACGCCTTCTTCCATTTTTGCCCTGCTGCCCCTTGAGATCAGCAGCAGAGGCTCTCCTCCGGGAACCCTCCGTGAAAAATATTAGGAGGCAAAGTACCTGGAGGAGGGCTTTCTCTGTGGTGGCGCCCCATCTATGGAATGCGCTCCCCAGAGAGGTCCGCCTGGTGCCGTCGTTATTTGTTTTTCGGCGCCAGGTTAAGACCTTTTTATTCCAGCGATATTTTAATAAGTTTTAATATTGTCTTTTCTATGTTTTTAACTGCAGCCAGTGTAGGTCGGGAATTTATGTTATATTTTATATTGTAAGCCATCCTGAGGCTTTTTTGTGAATAGGATGGCATATAAATAAAATAAATATTTTCTTGTAGTTTTCTGACCCCCCAAAACCTCTGGTGATTTACCAAGACTGGGTCTGAACAACATGACAAGCCACAATAGTTGGTGGGGGGCAGGGGAAGCACAATTATTTGTTGAGACATTTGAACCCACTCATTGACTGCTTCACCATGAAACATAACATTTTTTATTTAGACCTTTTTATTTCATCAATATTTTAATATGTTTTAATATTGAATTTATTATTGTATTTGCAGCCAGAGTGGGTCATCAATTTATTTATGCTGTTAGCCATCCAGAGACATTAGTAATTGGACGGTGCACAAATTTCTTTCATTCATTGATAAATAAATAAATAAATAAATAAATAAATAATATTTCCCATACATTTAACATAATTGTACAATTCTCATTTTTAAATATTTAGAGAAATATTTAAATGTTTAGCACCACAAAACAGATTTTCAATATATCAATACAGAAATAAATTGATTATGGGGGTTGGCTATAAAGCACATACTAAAGGGAGAAAAAAAAACTATTGCTAGATGGTTTGTGTAGCTAAAAAAAAGGAAGTTTTTGAGCCTCCTTTTTCATTTCTATGTCTTTGTAAGGTCCACATTCCATTACATAGCATTATTTAAAAGTATTTAATTTTGGTGATGACTTTGGAATTTGCCTCCAGACCTTCACTACTAGTTTTGAATTGGTATATTTACCTACAACCATTAATGCATTTGTCCAGTCTGCATGGAATGTACAGCAAAAAAAAATCCAAAATAAAGTTCAGGACCACTACTTTTTTTCTGTTAAAGTAATAATAATTACATCTGTGTAGAAATACATGGTATCTTAGCCTTATGTAGCCATTGCCTTTTCTTACCTGCAGGTGTGTTTTTCAGCGCAGCATGGCTATGGTCATCCACTTGCAAGGCATCCTAATTGTGTCAGGGATCATGGACATTCACCACTGCTACATTGGATTGACCATTCCTGATGGGGGCATACAAATTGCAGGGGGTGAACTGGGTGAGGTTTTATTTGTTCTTGACACTATTGATGGTATGATGCACAGCAGGGTTTACTGTAGAGAGTTTATTGTTATAGACATTGTAGAGTGTTTCTCTGACTTCTTTAATGTATTTTTTAGCTCATCCTAATGTAACACCATTAATTTGTTCCACACAGAGATTCTCATACATAGCTATGTTCAGTCTTTGCTCTGCATATGAAGAACTGTTGATATAAATCAGGCATTGCCATTAGAAGAGGAATAGGTGATCTCTGAAAACCACACAGAGAGAAATATTAAAACAAAATAGCAACTCCACTTGAGCAACCTTCTTCTCAGATGAGATTAGTATTATGAGGCACCGAGGATGCAGTAACCCTCAAAAATGTAATGCAGATCAGTGAGAATTCTCTCCATAATTACATAAAGGCTAGAGACTTGACATCCCTCATGATACCACCTTTTCCTGGAATTTCATGCCCCTTTCAAGTTTTCTGTATACCTCTCCTTCCAGTTTGAGAACCGCTGACATACCAGCAAATCATGTTATCTCATGCCATATATGTTGTGATCTAATGATCAAATGAACAATAAGATGTATCTGCTTTTTTGTAGCTGTTTACTCATTTTCCCTGCTATGATTATTGAAGTTGCTTCCATTTGTTAAAATATTGAACTTTCTTAAAAAATAATGTGTATAGTTATTATGTGATCATAACTTTTGCAGTTCTTTTCTTAGCCATTCCACAATGTTCCTTTGTTTGAATTATCCTATAATTCATTTGAATTCACACCTAGTTTATATTTTGTACATACTATATCCCATAGAATACACACACCAGATAAGATGATTTATGCACTGAAAACAGCAATTACTTAAAAACATACTAGATATAGACAGTACAACAATATCAGAAAATGAAAAAAGGAAAGTCTCAAAACCCTGTATGTATTCACAGGTGACAAAATGGATGGGCAGGTGGAGAATTATCAGTATACTGCAGAAAGATTCTGCAATCTAATTCAGAAAAGGAAAGGATTTAATGACAAGATTAAAAATACTCAGTTTCAGACTACAGTGCTATGCATAACTAAAGCTAACCTGGTTGCAAACCTGCTTGTCTGCAATTTAGATCTTGTTTTGTTTCTACAATCTAATCAGTCTTGTGAATCGTGAATACTATTGTAGATATAATACTAAAGGCTGGGAAGGGAGAGGGGGAATTTTCATTGGAGAGAAAAGGGGGAGAGCAAATTGAATATTTTCATGGCTGAATCGCTGTAGATCACAGTTACCATAGACCACATGGCTTTCCCAACCTGGTGCCCTCCATATACTTTGGAGTACAGCTACCAGAATTCTTGGCCATTAGCCATTCTAGCTGAGCTGATGGGAATTAAAGACATAAACACCAGGTTGGAGGAAGACTGGTCTATAAGAAGCCAGCATTGTCTGTCCTGGGTCTTGATAATAATTCTTTCTTGTACAGATGAATGAACTGGCAGGAGCAGGTGATCAGAACAGTAATAATGTCCTACATTTTTAGTTTGTTTAAGTTTGTTAATCAGTGTGGTGTGAAACTGTTCCTATTCATCCTGGCAGTTGTGAAGTCACTGATGTTTGTCAAGAAATGAACCTTACGTAGATTTGATTACATTGTATATTATGAAAAGTGGGACATGGAGCTCATATTTACTGGATTCTTTTCTAAGATACATCCAGCAGAACCGAAAGTTAGTAATGCAAGACAATAATCATTGAAGAATATAAGCTGATCCTCAGTCAGGGAATGACTGCAGGGAGGGAAGCCTTCATTGTTGGCCAGGGTCAGTTACTGGTGAGGGGAGTAGCCTTGGACATACTACTTTATAGGCAAGTGTTTGTCTTGTATTGTCAGTGTAAACACCTGGCTACAATGGTTCACATTCCTAATTGAAATCCCACATGGCACAATAAAGAAGAATGGTGCTCTTGAGGATGAAAGTGCTTTTCAGTGCTGCTCAGAGATTCTGAGTAGAGCTCAATGGTGGGGAGGTACAAGGCTGGCAGCAGTACTTGAAATTAAGATGGTAGTACACAATCAGTAGAACCTGGATGATGTAATAATGCGGTATTTGGTGGAATAACGATCATACTAAGGGATGATCTAACTCTTAGTGATAAACTGCTGCATTTCTTCCATGTTGTATACATTTAATGGGTATATGACCTGTTTTGCTTATAGTGTTGTTGATGGTTAAACAAGCCACAGTGTTTTAACATGACAGCCAACCAAAAGTTCAAACCCTGGCTTGTTTAACACTCAGCAATGCAGAATGGTGGGTTTGCATGTCTTGACTAACACCCCAAGAATGGGTCATTCTTTGCAATTGCAAAACAGAGATGGCAGATGAGAGATATACTGCTCACTCATTTGTGCTCAGTCCTGACTTTTCCTGGTTTAAACAACCCATAGCCTGTCATTAGGTGTAATCGGGCCTTCAAGTACTTGTTAAACAATTTAAAGTTGTTTGGAGAAAAATGTCACTCGTTAAGGACTTTACAGGGGGAGAACTATTAAAGTATCAGAGAGTGCAAATTTTAGGTGTATTATACATTGTATACCAGTACAGTCTTCTGTGCACACAGATGGCTTTGAAATGTATTCAGGAACTTTCATCTGTTCTGTTGAAAAGCCTGGAAAGCCATTGGCTTACTGCATAACTGTTTTCCTCTGCTGTGATATCATGGTTCCTCTAATAACTATTGCATTAACTGTTCTGTGTCATAAGAGATGCAGAGAAGCCTCTTGCTAGGCATATATGGCAGGCATACTCTGAAAACGCTAGAATCTAAATTGATACTTGAGGCTTTTATGCCTGATAGCCAACCCATTACTGGAGACCTAGTTAGCCATTTGCATTAATACCATAGCTCTTGCTGATGGCACATTCATTTGAATTAGTTTTATTTATAAGCTACTATTCCACAGTAGGTGTACCCAAACCAGCTCACAGTAGACATCTACATAAAAACACATGGGTGGGGGGATAAATACGATACTATCACAATAAAATAATTTTGCTTTGCACCATTATGTATTGAAAGTAGGAGAGAGCAGAAAGCTAACTCTTCATACTTTTTCTTTATTCCAAGTGGATCCATCAGCCTGGTTTTAGTGCAGATAAGAGAAAGCAAGGTCTTATTAATAGGCAAGTTTGCTCACAGCTGCTTCCTTCATTTCTATTCCAGAGAAGGCCGATTACAGCCAAAAAAATTATGGGGAGTGGGAGTTATAAGTCTGTTTTTCAGCCTTCCAGCCTTCCACATGTTCTCATTTATAGCATCTCCTCTATTCTCTTCTTGTAGGTTTCACAGTCACAAAGCAGCCTAAGCTAATTTATTTATTTATTAGATTTATTTAAAAGTTGCCCTTTAGCATCTTGCTCTCTGCTTTGCCAGATTGGCTACAGTTAAATCTCTGCCTATCTCTTCTGGATCCAGAAGACATGAAAAACATAGCCAAGGCCATAGCCCAGCATTCAGGAAATAGCAGTCTCTGGCTTTGTGTTAAAGGGTGGAGGGGGCAGGTATAGGAAGTTGCTCTACAGCCTTGCTGTGTGCCCTGCACCTTGTTGGCTGGAACTGTGTGCTACCACCTTGTGCTGCATGCCTAGCTCTGTATTTCTTTTGCTTTTATGCTTTCCCCATTAAAACTAGAAGAGAGGGTCATGGATATGGGTGTTCCATTCCAGTTCTCTCTGTGGGGTAATCTCTCTGGTTGGTAGCAACATTTGGTACAGCCTTTACTATGGGAGTAGAAGTAGTATAGCTGCAACAGCTGAGTAGTGAGCTGTAGGAATGGGATTTTTGTAGGAGTTGTAAAGCTGTTACATATGGGTAGCAAGCTGCAAGTCTGATATATATCAAGAGGCTAGCATTCTGGAGCCTTGTTTTGAAGCTGCTGTTCTGACTTGCATCTGTATAACAAAAGTGGTTGAGCCCATCTGTTTATCCATCACCACCATATCTCTGAGATTGTGAAACCTGGACATCTGAAACTTGGGGTGCATATTAAGGTGAACTGATGTATATAACAGATGTATATAACAGGGTTACTTTTTAGCACATTCATTAATTTAAATGTATCTCTATGCTTGAAGCCTGCTGTACTTCTTCAGTCACTAGTAGCAGACTTTCCTAACCAGCTATGTACTTCATATAATTTGAATTTGGAGCAAATTAGTAGATTTACTAAGGGACAGACCTTTCCCTACCCCTTTCCTTCTGTGAGACGAGGTCCTCTTCAGAGCAGTGGAGTGTACAGATCTCTTCAGCATTTCCCATTGCTTGGAGCAGATGTCTCTAACCAGTACATATTTTTGTTGTTAATTCAGTTTGAAGCCAGGAGTGATTAGTCAGCTAAAAAACTCAGTTATTTACCTGTTTCCTTCCTTTTTCTAAGGAATGGACACAGCCCTTCCTTTCTGAGCTCCAGGAGTGCACTTCACAGGGATTGTTCCCAGGTGTGTCAGTGACTATATTCAGATTCATTCAGACAGAATGGTTACAGTGTGACCTGATTTCTGATAGCTGCATAGTTTTTCTTGAACACTTTGCTTTTTAAGTACTATTCCCACCTATGCAAAGCTGGTTTCATTTGCTTTTACTAAAACAATGCCTTTACAAAATTGACTCACCAAACTAAACATAGTTATTGCAAATAATTTTGCCACCAAGGATTTGTTGAAAGCCAGATTTTCACTAATGGCTCATGTAAAGTTATGCAGAAAGTGGTTTTAACAATCTGGCTGTTTCTACCAGCTAATCTTTTGTCTTCCATATGAACAAATTACATCAAATATGGATTTGATTGTATGTATATTATATATTACATTGCATTTCTATCCTGTTTTTTTTCCTCTTGCAAGGAACTCAATTATCATCACTTTTCACCATATAGATCTTAGCTGGGGTCCAGTTACAGAACCATTTTTATTTAAATATTAGTTCCCCTCGGTTTTGCAGCTGTTTAGGAGAAGGAGGTAATTTGTCATAGACTTAGTAGAGATCCTCTCAAGCTCATAATCCCCTATATCTCTGGGGTTTTAGATTTGTAGAGAACAGGACAAAGTTTCCATTTCATTTAAGATGGGAGATAATATTTTGCCACTTCTGTTGGATGAGGGATGATTCATGTTGTTGTAAGCCGTCCTGAAATGTTGTAAAGGACGACATATAAATGTTATAAATAAATGTTTCTGTTCATTATGGCAAGTGTTCTACACTGAACCTCTGGTGGGCATGTCAAGATGATATTATGCCAGGAGGAGGTGGGTATAGACTTCTGTAAAATCTGTGCTTCTGCAGATTGCAGAGAAGTTGGTGTTGCTATTTTGATAGTAGTAAAATAGATCCCTGCTACCTTTCCTAGTCCCAACATGTTTTGGAGGTGGAGGACTATACCCCAGTGGTAGAGCACATGCTGTATATGCAGAAAGTCTCAAGTTCAATCTTTAGCATCTCTAAGTAGAGCTTAAACAAGATTCTATCTAAAACCCTGGAGAACTGCTGCCAATCAGTGTTGACAGTACTGGTTAGATGGACCAATAGTCTGACATAATATAGCAGAAGGAGCCCACTTAGGTGCCTCTAAAGCCTAACTTGACTGTGATAACAATCCCTAACATTGAAAAAGGTGCAAGGCAAGAGATTGGCAGAGTTCTAGCAACTACATATTTGTCTTAGCTAAAAATTCTAGATCCCTCATTACTTGTCTTTTTCTGTGGATTCTCTTGTTTTAGATTAATATTTTATGGTGATAACAATATAGAGCAACACAACAGCACTGAAATGAGATAGTTTTGTGCATATAATTCTCCCCACAAAACTGCAGGTTTTGATGAAGAGCCATTAAAAAGGTGACTGGTATTGCATAATGTAGGAAAGATTGCTGTGTCAGAGGAAGTCTTATTTTACATAGTATTATCCCCATCATGAAATTGCTCGTGGCTTTCTATTTAACTATATCTCATGTTTGGAGAGTTTTAAAATTTATTAGTTTTCATTTTAAAAAATTCAAATACTGGCAGGAAATCATAGTTGAATTCAGTACAGGAATTTAAAGTTATATTTTGACCTGTATATAAAACCAAGATCTAAAACTAAAAACAACTTTCTAATACAGGAAGAATTGTAAATTAACATAGAGATATGAAGATCTGGAAAATATTTTGGGGTCGGGGGACTTTTTTCTAGGTCTTTTTTTTCTGAAAAATGGAGAAAGATTAGATTATGCAATATTTTAGAAAAATGAATAAAATGTTGAAGATAAGGTGTTCAAATACTGCTGTGTAATCTCTACTAACCTGGAATAAACTGTGTAACAGAAAGATTTTTATAAATCAGATTATTTCAGTTTCAGAACTCTCAGAACAATACATTACAGCTCTAAAATTTGATTCTCTTAGAATTAAGCAACTTAATTGCATCTGTTTCTAACAAAAGATAAAGTCCTGTAAATTTAATTAGCAAATTTACAATTGTTATTTGAGTAGGCCTTAGTTCTAAATTTTATATAGTGAGTATAATGATTTTATGATCAAACTAAGTTGCTTGCAGATGCTTACTACATTAGCAACAAACTGAGTTGCTAATGTAGTAAGGTGACTTTAGATCTTTAGATGTAGCAAAGTGACTTGGGAAAAAATGTCATATTGTATATTTTTCCATTTTTCACAGTTTTCAGACTTGTCCATTCTCCAGATTTTTTCCCATGGCTTCCAAATTTCTGGAAGTTTTACATTTTTAGTGTCTGTGTTAGGGGAAAAAATGAAAACTTTTTGACAGAGAAAGTGCTGGGAATCCATTGTAATTCCCAACACATAAGTCTGAGAATCACAATGTTAAGGTTTTTCTATTTGACAACCATTTCATGTCACATATCACCAATATGGTAAAGATCTAGAGAGCTATCTAGAAGTGTTTTGTTATTGTTTCCAGTTTTCAGTATTTTCAGCTGTATGCACAGAAGGATCATTGGTTACTTGGTTAATTTAAAAGAAGTGCAGCAGTGAAAGCATGCTATACTGTTAGCATGAAAGTGAGAATGGAAATGTTAGCGTTAAACCTACCATAAAAATGCAAGAACAATTGCAAAATTATATTCAAATAAGTTAGATTTAACAGTGCCCTTCATAGTACCCAAAAACTCAATAACATCCCTAGCTCAGTCAGTTCTCCATCTTACTATGATAGATGCAAAGGATAAATGTTGCCAAAACATTAATATTATTTATTTATTTGTTTGTTCATGGAAAACATTTGTATGCCGCCCAATTGTGCCTCAGCACAACTTTTTTATTCTGATAGAAGTGCCACATGCCTCTAATGTTGCAGGTTTTTGATTAAGAAAATAAAGCAGTTATGTGGAGGGTACTTAAAATTGTTTTTTTCATAATAGCTTGTCCATGTGGCAGGATATTTTTGTGTATATGTACTATTTCATCATGTACACTGGTTTTTCCTGCATGCAAAAAGAAGCCATTCAGTGGAGCTAATCCATATGCCAAATATATGAAAGATGATTTATTATTTGGCAGCATTATAGTCTCTACTTGGTCTCTATAGCACATGAACAAAGTCATACATATGTAGGGCTGCTTACACAAATAGTGTCCTAAAACTACCCACGTAGCATAAATAATAAAATACTAATTACAAAGAATTTTAATTCCGTTACATGTACCTTTACACCTGCATCACTGAAAGGAGCTCCTCAAAAGAGTGGTGCATGCACAATACACCTACTTATTCCCCCTTGACTACCAGAGCTCAATTTCTATGATTCTGGATATACAAAGCCATTCTTTGTCAACAGGGAGACCACATAGCAAAGGGTGATCTTTTCAGTGTACATTCTATTGGATATAAAGAGAGTTTTCTTAATTGAAACATTGGACTGTGGATTATTTAACTAATTAGATGGATTAGCAAATAAAGAGATGACTCAGGTTCTGGTGATTGATGTTTAATTGCATTTTTCAGGGGAATAAAAGCAGCGGCTTATAACAAAATGAGAAAACATCCACCAAACAGAAGAGGTATCAGCTTTGAAGTGGGAGCCCAGTTGGAAGCACGAGACAGATTAAAAAACTGGTATTTCTTATTTCATGATAACACTCGGATACATTTTTGTGATGCTGTCGCATTGTGCTACAAACAGGGAGTCAAACCAACAAGTGTTCCAGTTTAGGTCTAGTTCTGATTAGCTGTTACAAAAGTTGTTCTTGTTCAGATTAATAACATTACAATAACTGGTTCTGCACACATGAACCAGTTGGCTTTCTTCTAGTTCATACAGGAAAAAACTTGAATTATGATTTTTATTTGCCTGTATGATAAAGTTATTAGTGATATTTATACTTTTGTTGTGTGTAAATGCTAGGATTTATATCAAAAATAGAATGTTTCAAAAACAATTAGGATGTAGCAGAGCCACTCCGCCATACAGTGTTAATGAGCAGTGAACTTACACATTAACTCTTCCCCTCCTCTTTGCTTTGTTTGAATTCCTAACTTGAGAAGAGATTTCCTGGTTTGTTAAATCACAAATTCCTATGACATCTGAGACAGGAAACTATTTTAAGTGCTGCCTATAAACCAGGATTGCAAATCATATTGGCTATGTTTGGGTACCATGTTAAATTATAATAAATTATAATTTAATGCAGGAGTGGACAATCTGCTGCCTTTCAGATTTTTTGAGCTAAAATTCACATTATCCCTGACCATTGCCCTTCCTGGCTGAGCTGATAGAAATTGAAATCTGGAAGGCACCAAGTTGGCTAATTCTGGTTTAGTGAGATAGGAACAAACCTAGCCTTTCCTCTAGTCTTCATCTGCTTTTTTCATCTTCCTACACAGCCAGTAGAGGCTCTTCTTATTAACATTAGTTTGGCATGACATCTGAATAATGAAGCTGGCTAAAAACTAATGGAAGAGACACTTTGCAATACTCAAACATAGTGTTTTCTTCTCTTTTTTACCCCATGCCTGTTCAGTCTGCTTACATTGGTAATCATTGCTTTTTAACATAGAAGCCTGGGTAAAGACTAACATGTAGGAACTTCAGCCAGATGTTACTTCTGTAAGTTAATTATTCACAACACCACTGAGTGCATAACTGTAGTTTTTATTCCAAACTGATACCTTAGAGGGGTTTTTTTACTGATTCTTTTCCCACTTTGGTTCAACTAGTGATGTGGTCAGAAGTCTCCCATGGTAAATACCCCACTGCTATACTTTTTCCATTTAAAATCTGTTGCTAAAATGTGGTATTTGGGGTGCAAACCTATGGGTTTAACCTTTGATGCTGATAATCCTCCAAGCGCAGAGGCATCAACCATCCTGTGGAAACCAGGAGGGCGCTGGAGATGATCTTGCCTTCTTGCATCTCTTGTTCTGCATTTTTGCCTGACAGCTGTTTTCATTTATTTTTCTTGGAGTCTTGGGGTGGAAAAGAAAGAGTTTGCACAGGACACAGAACAGCTTGTATCCTGGTCTCTCTCTTCTTCTCCTGACCCACTAGAACCTATCTCCCCCCCCCCCCCCCCCCCCCCGTTGAGTTCCCAAACTTAGAGATGAAGCTGGCACAGTTCTTTCCATGCTGAATGTAAGTGTGAGGAGGAGGACTGGAGTGCAGATTCCCAGGTCTGAGGATAGAGCTCTGTTTCTGATTTTGCATCTAGGAATCTGAAGTATTCTCTGGTCCCCAGAAGATGTTTAATTTCAGTTAACTAAGCAACATAATGAATGAGATAATACTAATAATCAGACAGTTCCAGAGTTTGAGTGACTGCCCCTAGTGGGTTCATATATAATAAATATAGTAGCATAGCACTCTGAACATGCTAAAATTAGTATATTAATTTTCTGTGCCTAGATTTGTTTTTAAGTATAAAAAATGTAAGGAACTGTATGCTATTGTCATGTTTTAAAAGCTTCACAAGTATTCCAATAAAAAGAATTTCCAAGTAAAACTTTGTATTTGTTTGAATATAACATATAAACTACATTGGTGTACTCTGTTGATTTTTGTTCTAATCAAATAATTTAGTTAAGATGCTCTGGATTTGAAGATTATCTCTGTTTGCACAGCCAGTACCATTTAACATGACATACTTAAAATTCTTGTTTACTAAGTATGACAAAAATGCCAAATTAGATCCTATTCAATTTAAGGCATAACAATTCTGAGTAAAAATGTTCTAGAAAACAGGTATCCCAGGATTCAGCACATTCAAATAATGATACAGGTTCTGTTCCAACTTTGATAAAATAATTGTTTAATCAGGTTTTCAGTTATTTATTTATCTGTTATTTTAAACTTTGAGTTCGGTTTGACTCCCTGCCATCAAATTTGTTATGATCTGAAATGTTCTTGTCATATTTCCTTATTTTTCTCCCATCATGCAGTGCTGTAATGTCTTCCATTCTGTAATACAATGCAGTCCTGTACATGTCTGTTCAGAAGCTAATCATGTTTAGTTCAGAATCGCTTAAGATAAGTGGGCCTGAGTTTACAATCTTAGTTATTAAACTGTTTTGGATATGAGAGTCCTACATAAAGAAGGCCCTCTTTCATCTGGAATTCAACTCCTGTGGAGGGATATTTTGTTGCTCACTCATAGGCATAATTTGCGCAAAAGACAGCTTCAGTCCTGACAATTCCAAATTAAAATAATCAAATATGAAAAAACCTGTGCTGCTGCCAGTAGATAATACTAGCTAGATGAACAAATAGTTTGATCTGGTAAAAGGATTTTTCTGTGCTCTAGCAAAACAGTCACCTTCTACACTTCTTTCATTGAATTGTTGTTTACTATGGTAGTATTGTAACTTCTTGAGCTGGGTAGGAGGAAATGGGGAAGCAGTACAGTTATGTTTAAGCATCATTGCCCCAACCCTAACACCACATGAGAGGAATTCAGGGAGGTACTAGCTGACCCTGACCATCCATCCATGGTTTCACTGCTCTCCATTGTTCGAGGAGCAAAAGTCTATAGAAGAGAGCCCACTGTATATATGTAGACTCCTTTCATGATCAGGATTCTGAACTGAGCCTCCAAGCAGGCATTGGTAAAGAACAGAAGGGACTGGACCACTGAACACGTCTTCCTTTTTCATCAGCTGAAGGCTTCTGGGAAAGGTATTTGAGACAGTGATATTGTAGAAATGAAATAACAGTGAGGTTATTGTATAGGTCACATTTCAATAGATGCAGGGCCCATACTTTTCAGTAGTCCTGTGCCTTGGAATGAATGATTTGTATTTGAAATAAAGCAGATTCTGGCCCCAAGGAATTTTTAAGGAGGTGAACGAATGCTGACCTTAAAAGAAGAATGTGATTTAGATTTAGCTGCTATGGTAGTTGCTGGTAGGTATAAATGTCTCAGTGAGACCAAGAGTTCTGGGTTTATACAGACAGGAATATTAGAAAATGTGCTATTCCACTTGCCAGCTTGAGGAAAACAATGTATTGGAAAAGTGGGGAATAAATTTCTGAGATACTATGCTGAACCTTGTAGCTGTAGAGCAGTAGATTCTAGTCTTAAGCATACAAAATTCAGCAAGGCATTTCATCCTGACTTTAATAAATTTCTTTCCCTTTCATGGTAATGCATTATGGAAATAAGTTTTTATGAGAATCCATTTTGTTTAAGGTTATAGCAGATGGTGTTATCTATAAATCAGCATTCCAGACAATTTGCTGTCTGCCTAAGGCTAAGTAGGCTTAAGATAGTTAGATGCATTGGATAGTACTCAAAGGAATGAAGAAATAGCTATCTGGAAAATATCTTAACACAATGAATGAAATTGAACTCTAATTTCTTTTTTAATTGATAACAAACCAATTTGCTCACTTAAGTTCATAGTTCAATCAAACTTTAAATCTACAACATTGATTCTCAGCTCAGGCCAAGGGCTCTTAATATATTTTAGGGAGTGCTGGTGTGCAGTGGAAGCTCTGTGTAACCACATTTGTCCACATTGCATCTGAAGGCCCAAGGATTTGGAGGGCCACTTGACTTTCTTGGCATACATGAAAATACCTCCTGTATTGAAGTTAGTTGGGGAAACTTCATGCAGAGGGGCTTCTTACCTACATATGAGTGAACTGGAACTTCTCCCTGTTCTGGCTGTTCTTCCAGTATTTTTACTTATATTTTCATTTGCCATTTAAACTGTCTGAAGAACTAGAAGTATTGCATGGGTTCTGTTAATTATAGTTTTCTGACAGTAGCCTTTCTAAGCAGAAATCATTTATATACTTCATTATACATAACACACAAGTAGAAAAGTTACTAAGTTATGAAGGATATTTTTATTATTAAAAAGACATTATGGTGTTAAGTTATTCTCCTTCGTAGCATGCATAGACTTGTTGAGATGTTCTTACAAGCCATCAACTTGTCTCTGACTTACAGTGACCCTACAATTGAATGCCCTCCAAAATGGCCTGTCCATGACAACCCTGCTCAGCTCTTGTAAAGCCAAGGCTGCAGCTTCCTTTATGGAATCAATCCATCACATATTTTGTCTTCCTCATCTTCTTCTGCCTTCTCTGACTTCATGACTGCCTTCTCTGTCCTTGCCAGTGATGATGTACTAGAAGTATGACACCCTCAACTTTATCATTTTTACTTCTAGAGAAAGCTTAGGCTTGATTTGGTCTTGATTAGGTCCACTTATTCTTCTTGCTTTTGTTCCACAGTATTTGCAAAGCTCTCTTCCAGTACTGTTTCAAACACATCTGTTTTTTTCTTGTCAACTTACTTCACTGTCCAGCTTTCACACCCATATGTAGTGGTTTGGAAATACAGTGGTGTGAATAATCTTGGCCTTAGTCTACAAACATTCTTACATTTGACAGCCTTTTCTAGTTCCTTCATTATTGCTCTTCCAGGTCTCAGTCTTTTTAAAATTTCTTGGCAGCAATCTCCCTCTGAATTTATATTGGCTCAAATACAATTGCATTTGCTGAATTGTTGACATTAAAGTTGGATAATTCTTCTGTAGTCATTGTTTTTCTCATGTTCAATCGTAGTCTTCCTCATGTGCTTTCATCTTTCACTTTCATCAGAAGTCATTTCAGTTCATCACTGCTTTCAGCCAGTAATCCAGTAATATGGTATCATCTGCAATCTTACTGAAGTATCTTTTCTGCATTTTCACTCCGTATTCCTTTGCTCCTAATACAGCTTTCCTTATATGTTCTACACACAGATTGAACAGATAGGGAGATTTAAAAAACGCCATTGTCAGACACCTTTGCCAATAGGAAACCATTCTGTTTCTCCATATTTTGTCTTAACAGTAGCTTCTTTTCCACAATACAGGTTACACATCAAGACAATCAAATGCTGAGGCTTAGGTATTTCTCTCAGGCCCATCCTTATCTAGCCATGATCTGCACACTCAAAGGCTTTGCTATTGTCTATAAAGCATAGACTGATCTTCTTCTGAAATTCTTTGAAATGCTTTAGTAGCCAACATATATTTGCAATATGATCTCAAGTGCCTCTTCCTTTTTGGAATCCAGCTTCAATGTCAGGCATTTCTTGCTCCATAAAGGGTAATAATCTTTGTTGCAACACTTTCAGCATCACTTTGCTTATGTGGGAAATTAGTGCAATGGTTCTAGGGTTGCTGTACTCCAGTCTTGGGGGCTAAAATGTGTATGGAACATTTCCAGTCTGTAGGACGTTGTGTTGTTTTCCATATTTGTTGACATATTCTTGTTATGAATTGGACTGATTCAATCTCTGCAGCTTGAAATGGCTCTCTTGGTACCCTGTCTATTCTGGGTGCTCTAGTTCTCTCACACCAAGTATTGTGATTGCTTCCTGCTGTATTTCTTCCTTTATGGTTTCCAGTTTGCTTTCATTCATAGTTTTCATATTCCATACTGTACTTATATGTGTTGTACAGCATTGGACTCTCCATTTGCCTCTTTGCCACTAGACTTCCTTACTGCTTTGATCTAGTTGCATCATTAAGCAACAGTGTGGTTTGTACCTTTCCTTTGCTCTTCCCCAATACCTGGTTGCATGCTTTCCAACCTGGGACTCTCCATCTTTTGGCACTCTCTCTTGTTTGATTTTGGATTGTTTCATCATAGGGTTTTCAAGATGAGAAATATTCAGAAGTATTTTTAATTGTCTTCTCACCACGTTATGATATGCATCATGAGAAGGGGGGATTTTGAAATACCCTAATCATTGTCTTCGGCAAGCTTTGGCAACAGAACAAAAATTGGACTGAATTTCATGAAATAGCCATCGCCAGTGGCAAGTTACAAAAGACCTTGGGCTAAACAGTCCTGCACATGCAAGTTTCTAGGTTTTGGATGGTAGAAGGAATAGGTTTGGCTTTTTGACAAAATTGTTTATTTAGTTTATATAAGAAAATCTAAAAATTTGCTTCTGTTAGGCATGGTAATAAAATAATTTTTCAGTGGAAATGTTTCAAAATGTATGACTCAGTCCCTCTAGATAGCTCTGTGCTCTTTAAAAAACTAATACAATAGTAAAATAGGATATAACTGATCTAAGTAAAGAGATTGAATGAGGATTGAGAAGATTACATTATAGCAATGTTAGTGAATTACTTTTTTTTTAATGAAAATTCTGTTTGGTTTGCAGTCAGCACTAAAATATGCTTCAAATTCTGCTTGGAAATATTGTGGAAGATTCAGGGTTTATAATGAAATGTAAATCTATATTGAAGCAACTCAAACTTGAAAGGAGATTTTAGAAATTTGAGATTAATTTAAAAATAGTTTAAACAATATGATGAAAATATTGAATCCATTTTATTTTTAATAGATAGTTACTCATCCAGAAGCAAAATTATAGCCTGGATTAGAAATAGTGATAACCCTCACTGAGAATTTTAATCTAGGTAAGAAAAATACATGTTGGGGTCATAAAATTTGTTTAGTTCAGAAGTTTCCAATGATACATTAACATTGCATTTTTAGGACCAATTTAAATTTGATTTAAATTGTAGTTTTTAAAGGCATAATCTTGTACATGCTTAGATAGGAAAAATGCACTACCAGCCACCTATGCTGGAAATTATAAGACATTTTCTTAGGGTAAAATACCTATGGATGTTTTGACAAAGTGATGGAAAGTGACTGGGAGAATACAGCTGCTGTGATACTGTACAGAATTTCATGGTTGGCATTAAAATACCTGTGGTGTCAGATCTAGCATAGACTGCCTCCTACAATAGCCTTGCAACACCAGATATCTGATAGTAATCAGGGAGTAGGAGAAGAAGCAGAGAATAGTATAAGTGGGTTGGTTTTTTCCATATAAACCTGAAACATAATAATCTGTCTGATACTGATGAACATTGGAGGACTTGGGATATTATTGAGATGAGGTGGCATAGCATTTTAAATATTTGCAAGCTTAGTCTTAGTTAAAATTCTAAAATGGCTTAAAATGTTCAGAATTTGTTTAACTTATTAATTCTGAAAGAATAAATAGACAGTATACCAAAGTAAAGATAGGGAAAGTTTGTAACAAGGGATCTTTTCCTTAACTTTAATATAGATGTGATTATAGGTTCAGTCTTATACAACAGAATGACAGAATACCATATTTTTCCGTGTATAAGATGCCCCGTGTGTAGGATGCCCCCCACTTTTCCTACCCATCTCCAGCGAGCAAGCTGCTGCCTTACATGCGCATCGCTTCGCCGCCCTCCGCATGCGCCAGTCTTCCCCTCCCACAGCATACCTGCAGCCCCCGTGTATAAGACGCACCTTCATTTTTAAGTAAATGTTTTAAAGAAAACGTAGTGTCTTATACACGGAAAAATATGGTATATTAATGCACCATTTTTCTGTTTGCTTTTATGCAAAGTGAACTGTGTATGTGAACATCATGAATACTAGGAACCATCACTGACACAGATTATTTTGATCTAGGGTATACAGCCTGTCACACAATGCCAATAACTTTTTCTGGCATGATGGTTTCTCCAGGGATTAACATTGTGCTAAAGGTCATACTAGTGCAACATAAGTTATACTAGTAATATCAAATAGGTTACTGCCCCTGTAGAGTATTTAATGTTCTAGTAACATGATAACATGAGTGAATTAATTTGCCTAAGGGGAAAAGTGTTGTTACTTTGCTTAGTGGTCTTTCTTTTGTTGTCACCCATTCTCCAAATTTGCTCTCAACAGCCTCTTCTAAAAACAATTGGTAAACACTTTCCAAGCATAGGTGGTTTTGCTTGATTTAACTGGCAGCAGCAGGGAATAATAAACCCTTTCTCTATTTGAAGGTGAATCTGATCAATGTGATTGCTGAAAAGGATTTTGTCTCAGGAATGATTCAGAACAAATCAGGAGGAACTGATTATTCTCCATGCAAAGCAGATATGCATGAGGAATTCATTGTAAATTTCTGCAACTGCATGTTCATTGCACTGCTTAAATAGTATGAAACGGGATTAAGTTCTTAATTGTCACTCTTGCAGTGACTTTTGGACAGAAGTGTAGATTAACTTGGGGAGGTTTATATGCTAGATGATCCCATGTTCAATTTTGAAATGTACATAATGTTAACATTACTGGAAACAGTATCAGTTGGTGGTGCTAAAAAATTAACATGCCCTGTTGTCATTGCCCAGAGGACCTAGGCATGTGTGTGTGTTCTATCTGATTCTTAATAACACAGGATTTACCTCTTCCAGTCACAAACTATGTTGATGGTAACAGCAAGATATTTGTTAGAATATTAGAATATTGTTAGAATATGGTTGAAAATGTCAGGCATAGATAAAGATCATTACTGAAGCATAACACAAGGCACAAATATAAGATGCAAAAAATGTCTCTGATTTTATATTTGAATATTCTATGTTTGTCATATGTGCTGGAAAGTTTTCTTATTTTTCGCAGAATGGAAGCAGTATTAAATATATCATGTATAAGATGTAAATAGTAGAATACAAGCCATTGTAATATAAAAGTAATAGTATTAGTAATAATTTTATATCAGGTCTTACTGTTAATAGCACAAGCAAACACCATTACAAAATGTATGGTTTTGTAACATTAATAAAAAGTCTGTTGTTTTTCAATACTCATTCCTATCTTTTCATAGTGATAATATTTTAAATGAACTTTCTTTATACAGGTATCCAGCTCATATTGAAGAAATTGATTATGAAGAAGGAAAAGTGCTTATCCATTTTAAACGATGGAATCATCGTTATGATGAATGGTTTTGTTGGGATAGTCCTTATTTACGTCCTTTAGAAAAAATACAATTAAGAAAGGAAGGATTGCATGAAGAAGAAGGCTCTTCTGTAAGTAAAAGCAGCAGTCTAGTCATGAATTCCCTGGAGTGAAATGTAAATATTATAAACTTGAAAAGAAATTAATATGAGTGCTTGTGAATTTGCACATGAAGGGTTTTGTGCTGAATTTATACAGAAAATAATTAAGAACATTGCTTTTTGTTAATCCTTGGGCTAGGAGAGGATAGGATAAAAAGTTGATAACCATGTTGATCTGGGTCTATGTTGCCTTTGATTAGGAGACTATTTGTGGCTCTAAGCCTTCTTTTATAATGTAGTTCTATACATGGCTGTCCAGAAGTCAGTCTTGTACGTTTGTAAGCTGTCCTAAGATGCTGAGGCATGTGGTGATGGCATATAAAAGTTTTAAATAAATAAGTAAAGTAAGTAAGTATAGGTTTGGAGTCTTAACAGATTCTTGTAACTTTTCAGTGCAAATTTCTGATTTTGAGCACTTTAATACAATGAACAACCAACCCAAACCTAGGACTTCAGTGTACATGTTCAGTAAACTTGCTATTTATAGTGGTCTTTGTCTTGAGAATACATACAGAAAATTACTGCTACTGTGCAATATAGGTGGAATAGAACGGTTGTAATGAAGCTTAAAATAATAAATGAGAAATCTGCTTCAGGAGGGTTTTGTCTACAGGATAGACTAATTTATTAAAGCTACAATGGAGTGCTATATTTCTGCACACTTGTTTTGTAAAGCTTGGAATGATGATTATTTCTTCTTTTTCAGGGATTTCATATAAATGATCAGGTGTTGGCTTGCTGGTCTGATTGTCGTTTTTATCCAGCCAAAGTTACTTCTGTTAACAAGGATGGTAAGACATAATTGATAATTTCATAGTGATTTGGTTTGAAGCATAGTGATTTCATAGTATTTTGTTTTTGGGGGACCCTCTAGAACAGTGTGGGCAGTGACATTAGCGATGCAGGGGGAAGGAGAAACTGGAGAAAAAATGCCTCTCTTCTGTTTCTGTAACTGGAGTGTCCTCTGGATCTGGAGTGCAAATAGAAAGAGAAGTCTGGATCCAACCCATAGAGTCTAAAGGATCTAATTCAACTGCTACCTCCTCCTATAGTGGAAATTTGCTTCTGTGGCTTCTCTGACAAGTGGTCATTCACTCTTTACTTGTAAACCCCTAACAAAGAGCTGTCCCTCCAAGGCAGTCTTTTCGACTGTCAGCAGCTCACACCATCAGTTTCATAGCTTTTATTGTGCTCTATAGACCCAGTGGTAATATATCATCATATAAATATTTTGTAAGTCACTTTCTGGGATTGACATATAGTTTGCAATAATATATATATATAGGTTCACTATGATGTGACAATGCAGATATCCCTAATAAGGATGTTTTCATAATTTTACCTTTGGATTTTTTCTGTTGTTTTTGTTTGGATGCTCAAATGGGACATAGATTGTTCAGTAGGACTTTTCTGAAATTTACAAAATGGTACAGTGAATCAGTGGTACAGTGAATTTGTTGTTGTGAAAAATGAATCTAGGAAGCCCTATTACTATGTTGCTTTAACAAATCCCTCAAACATTGTAGTTTTAAATCCCTCAGATATAGATTATATTTGTGCATTAAATTATCTGAAACTGATCCTTTTTAAAGAGAAAATACTAGGTTGCATAGGCTTCAAAACTTTTTTACTGCTCTTACTAAATCCAGTTTCCTGTAAAAATTGTAGAAAGCACACTAAATTACATTTGACTACAGGGCCGTGCCCTTCTGAAGTTTCTGACACAGGAGCTGAGAAACCCCAAATAGATCCAGAACTGTTACATTACAGGACTGATTGTTTACCACATCTCAGAAATAGAGAGCTCTTTTTATGTATATAAGAATTTGGATCTTGCTCCACTTGCATGGATCTAAGCTCTTAAGTACAAAAGAAGAATTCTTACCTAAGGCAGGGGTGGGATAGCATTCATCTCTCATATCTTATGAAAAACACTAGCTCCTCTGAAGATACTTCTCAGGAGCAGGGAGGCAGCTGCTGCTTAATGGTGTGAGTGATGAAAGTGTGAGTGTACCATCCAGGAGCTCAGAAAATTAAATTGGAGACACATCAGCAGACAAAATGTTCTAATGAATCTAGCCAGACAAAGTTGTGATGATGGCAGCAAAGAAACTGTATTTTTCTATCTCCATCACCTCTGCACAGCATTGTCTTGCAGAGAAGTTTTTTCAAAGATTGGTGGAAACAGTGGTGAATGACCCAATTGCCATTATTAGCTTTTTGCTTGATTCTTTGTAGATGAAAGCTGTTTGCAGTTGCTCTAACTTGGTTTACAGTAGATCTGCTTGTCTTTTGTAAATATATGTTTCAAACTGTACACTTTAAGGATATGAAAAAGATCCTTGGTGGCTTGAAGTCAATAATAGCTGTACTTTACCCTTGCCTTTTCAAGCTGATTATGGGAGCCAAGGCAGCAGGATTGTAAAGGATACAGAGTGTGTTAAGTGTCTTTTTGGAAGAAGGAACAATGCCATCCAGTCTTAATACGGCTGTAGTAAAACCTTTGTTAAGGAAGCTTTCTGTGAATCCCACCATGTTGATCAATTCTGATTGGTCACTGGCCAATTTTGAGGGAAGGTACTAGTTTGTGTGGTAGCATCTCAGTTCCAGAATTCTTGGTTGAAAATGATTATCTGTACTTATTTTCATCCAGCCTCAGTCCTGGGTTTGAAATTGAGACAGTCTTGGTTGCCCTGGTAGATGATATATGCTAGTAACTAGACAAGAAAAACTGTATGTGTCAGTTGTGTTTGTTCTGCTGGGCCTCTCAGCAGCTTTCAGTACCATCCAGCCTGGATCACCTGGCAAGGATGGGATCAGAAGATGCTCTCTCATAGTTCTGCTGTTTCAGTGGTTAGTTTTAGAAAAGGGCAATATTCTTTTTCAACTCCTTGACCACTGATATATGATTCAACCCACTCCCCCATGCTATTTAAATATCTACATAGAATTTCTGAGATGGCTGGTCCAGAGATTTAGGATGCATCTTTTAATATGTAGATGACAACAAAATGGTGTTTCTTCCTTTTGTCTACTATCAAGGAGGATGTTATGTTTTCAGTTAGTGTCTGGAGGGGCTAATGGGCAGGATGAAAGCTAATAAATTGATACTTAATCTGGACAAGACTCTGAGTTAAGAGACAGGCTTTGGAATAGGAATTCACCCTTTTTTATGAATCATGAAGACTCATGAATCAGAGGAATCACGTTCATAGTTTGGGGATACTTCTGAACTTAGCTGTTTACCTGTTGCTCACTTATGAGTCATGTTCATGGTTTGGGGATTCATATCAACCTTGGTTTGCACCTAGATGATGAATGTACCCAAGATTGTGTTTTCCCTGCTTAAACTGATGTACCACTTTCCTGATGAAGTAAACTGTGACCACAGTGGCAGATGCCTTAGTTACATCTACATTGAATTATTGCAGTGTACTCTACATGTGTCTACTTCAGAAGTATCTTCAGAAACTGTAGTTAGTCCAGTTTACTTTCATTACATCACTGAAAATACTTGCTAGCAGTCACTTACAGGATTGTATTACACATACCTTATAAGGCTTGACTGGTTACTAACTAAACCTTGATCCTATACAGAGTTAGTGTGCTTAATGCTTTTGAAATCAACCTGATTAAGCATTTCTCACTCTCTGTAGGCTCAGGTTAAGAGTGAACATTAAAGTGGCTTTGAAAGCCTGTAAAATGAAACTTGTAAAGAGTATATGATAAACCAAGGTCTCACAGCACTGGAGATAAGCAAAACATACAGCCAGATGAGACAAACCATATTCTCACTTCAAATTGGGGGGCGGGAGGGAGCTTGGTAGATAATGAGATAGCTTAAAGTATTCTTGGCATCAGCAATTTCATACCTTCTGTTTGTGAATATGAATCGCTTTGTGTTTGTAGAGTAATTACCTATTGAATAGTTTTCTTTTGAATCTCATGGTGACTCTTTTAAATTTCAGGTACTTATACTGTGAAATTTTATGATGGTGTAATTCAGACTGTCAAGAATATACATGTCAAAGCTTTTTCCAAAGATCAGGTAGGAAACTTAGTTGATCTTGGGGATGGAGCAGAATATTAATTACAAGGTTGCTACTTACGTTTATTGAAAGATTCAGGGCACTTACCCACATTGTGCTAAGCGATAACTTAGCATGAGCTGCATGAGCAGTGAGTCTCAGGCTCACTCAGTCCCTTTCTTTCTTCTTCCTGAGCAACTGAGAAGGTGAAGTATGAAAGTTTGTGCTTCCATTATTACTTAACGAGCACTTCCTATGTCATCTGATCTTGGAACAATGTTAACTTTTAACTGTGGTTAGTTTAAATAAACCAGCTTTTCAGAAACCACCATTTGAAGTCATTTGTTTTTAGCTGTAGCTAATGTTAACCACTTTTTGCCACATAAGTGGACAGCTTGAGATTAAGAGGAAAGCAAAAGTTTCCAAAGTCTTGGCTGGGAGAGGATTAGCATGAGCCTCAGACACATTGCAACATGTTCCTTCTTGTGCGCATTGTACTAATCCATGGTGTACACATCGCCAGTGAGTCCACAGTGTGCATTAAACCTGTCCTAAGTTCATAAATTTCTACTGCATGGCTAAAGAACTTAAAAAAATCTTTTATTTCCTCTGTCAGCTATACATCTAAGGTACAAAATTGCAACATATCTTAATATGTGAATAAATATAAAATGGCAGATATTTTAACCAGTTGGCTCCTACAAAATCTCCAGTGGGCACTAAAATTTTGCCATATGGTACCTGCTATCTTGTGTATGGATTTATAAATTCATAACTTTTTTTGTATGCATATGTGTTCAGATGAGTAGTAAAAAGAGGCAAGTCATACCAGTGTATCAGAGTCAGATCATCCTGTGAGACCTGGATTGCTTATTTTAGCCTTTTCTTCTGTAAACAAATTGATTTACAGTGGAAAGAATTCACAATTTTTAAACTTTCTTTTCAGTCTATTGTGAGTAATCCAAGACCTAAGGAAAGAGGTAATGAAATCCCTTCATCTCCAGAAAGATGGGAAAAATTTAAAGAACAGACAAAAGCAACCGATAATAATAAAAAAGACAAGGATGAAAAGACGTTAAAAGTTGAGCGAAGATCTAAGCCTGATAAAGAAGGAAAGCTAATAGTTCCTTCAGAAAAAAGTAAGGCATCTGAAAAGGCTTTGCCTAAGGATGGGAAAGAAGACAAAGAGAATATATCTGAAAATGATAGAGAATTCTCAATAGATACACAGATAGAAAAGAAACCTGAAAATGATAATGTGAAGCCCCCACCAGAAAACCTCAAAGAAACGAAAAGACGTCGTGGTAGACCACCTGTGGTGCCTCCAACAGGTTGGTATTTGTGATTAAAGTCTTGCTTGATTCTTCTAGGAGTGCCTTCTCTTTCAAGGTTAAAGATGTACACAGAGCACAGTTTATCACACTGCAAAAAACAAAATCTATCTGGCTATAACAGTACCTGATCTGAAATGGCCACTAAAATACTCATTTGTTTATGTCATTCATGCTTGTTATAGAACCAGAAACACCTACACTGATCTTTTCTTTAATTCTATGCAAAATTTATCATACAGATTTTAAAGAACTGGTGATAACAATGATATGGGAACATTATTTCATATTGTGATATTTATTAATATACTGAAAGCTTTCTGCGAAAAGAGGAAAATAAAATTAGGATTCAAATTGTAGGCTCCATGAAACAGCAGAAAATAGTTTTTAAAACAAAAAGAAGGAAGGGAGGAAGGAAAGGACTGTGTCCTTTTGCTGTTGGTAATCTTTAGAAAAATGCTTTTCTATATTGATATATTTAGAACAAGGCTCTCAAACTCTCCAGCCAATAACTTTAGAACTGAGAAGGCGGAAAATACCTAAAGGAGGAGAAGTTCCTTCAAAACGTCCCAGACTCCAGAAGAACATGTGTGAGTATTTTCTCCACTTACTTAAATTTATGTATTTAGCAGCAGTAAAATATTATTTAAAAACAAAACAGTATCCGTGGATATTAAATTTAGATTGCTAGATGTGTTGGCATGTATAGCTCTTAAGCACTCTTCAAAATGACCATGCATTCCTAAATGCAGTAAAGAATCATTTTCTCACCTTCTGGCTTTATGAAAGAACATTCAAAGAGATAAATTAGTTCAAAGTGCAGTTATGTCTTCCAGAAAAAAACAAAATGATACCTGTCAGTGTTTCGGTAGAAAGAACTGATCATCTAAAGCTGAAAAGCTCTGTGGTAAATGTCTGTCCTCCTCCAGCTGCAGAACAGCATTTCAGTATGTTGTGCTCTGCAATTATTTCTATACTGTTCAATAGCCAAAGCTCTCTCAGTGGTTTAATGCCTGCCCATTCACTGAGTAAGTGCAGCTACCTTTCAAACATCTGAGAACAGGAAACCAGAGAGCCTGCAAATAAATTGCATATAAAATCATTGTGTTTCTTTAAGAACATGAGAAAAGTCTTGCTGAATTAGACCCATGGTTATCTAAAGGAGTGCTTGCATCCATATCTGCCCTCCCTCCCCTTGAAATCGGCGGCAGAGGCCCTTCTCCAGGAACCCTCCGTGAAAGATATTAGGAGGGTGAGTACCCGGAGGAGGGCCTTCTCTGCGGTGGTGCCCCACTTATGGAATGTGCTCCCCAGAGAGGTCTGCCTGGCGCCGTCATTATTTGTTTTTCAGCGCCAGGCCAAGACCTTTTTATTTAAACGTTATTTTAATTGTTGAATTTATTTATTGATTTTATATTTATGCCGGGATGTCTCCAGATTTTTATGTATTTGTATAGCTATTTATTTGTATTGGAAGCTGCCCCGAAGCTTTTGCGAATGGGGCAGCATATAAGTGTTCCAAATAAATAAGGAAGGAAGGAAGGTCCGCCTGGACCTCTATTCACACATTGGCAAACCCACTGCCCAAAGAATCCCTCTAGCAGGATGGGTACAAGAGCCTGCCCAAGCTCAATATGCATTACTTTGCATTTGCTCGTATTGAACTGCATTTACCATTTTGATGTTCATTCTCCCAAATTGGAGAGATCCCTTTAGAGCTCCTCACAATCCCTTTTGGTCTTAACCACCATGAATAGTTTGGTATTAGCAGCAAATCTGGCCATTTCACTGCTTATTCCTAATTCCAGTGCATTTTATGGATAGGTTGAAAAGCATTGGTCCTAATACAAAACCCTGTGGAGCCCCACAGTTACATCCCTCTGCTGGGAGAAATTACCATTTATTCCTACACTCTGCTTTCTGTTGTTTAACCAGTTAATGATCCATAAGAGAATCCTGCTTTTATAATTCCATGACTGCTAAGTTTGCAGGAGTCTTTGGTGAGGGATTTTGTCAAAGCCTTTTGGAAGTCCAGATAAACAAGGTCTACCATATTGCCCATCACATTTCAGTTCTGTTATTCAGCCTTTGGACTAGAGAATGTAAACATAAAGTAATGCTTAACTGTTTTGCATGAATTTTGTATAAGCTTATCCTTTTACTTTCAATTTCTCATTTTAGAATGCTCTAACCAAAATTATTGGATTATGTAGAAATATTTGAACCTTGGTTTCACGTTCTGATTTATGAAGGTTTTTGTTTTCTCTTCTTCTTAAATGCACAGGGATCTTATATGAAAAGATTTCACTCATTTGCTTATATTTCTTACGCTTATATTAATAAATATTAGTAATTTACGTATATATAATTTACATATTTATCTATAGTATTCATAGTATTTATCTAATTATTTTAAAATCTGTCATAATTAATAAAAAATAACCACAGGTGCCTATTTTTAAAGGCTTGTGAGACCATGTATTATATATCTTTTTCTTTTGCTAATCTTCAGTCTTACCATTTCCTGTGTAATATTTAGTTGGTGATTTTTTAATTTCAGTGATATGCCTTATAGAAATAAGAAGGTCTCCAAGGAACATCATATTGCTGGGGGAATGTTTAGCATCATCTGGTCTACTAGAAGAAAAGCTCCCCCTCCCCCAAGTTGTTTTCCTGAAGAATGTCTGTTTCCTAGGGCATTGAGGACAGAAGTGGCAGGAGTACCACCATGCTAGGGAGAGGCTTGAACGTTACTTTCACAGAATCCCATTTCTTTGGCAGTATCACAGCTTTGTGTTGACTTGTGTAACATGTTGTAATCTTTCTCTGTGGAATTTTAGATTAAAAGGTGACATATACATAGTAAAATAAAATTTTGAAGCATTTATGGGAAGAACCACTATGTAGGGGCCATTTGATTTGTTGATGCCAGTGTCAAATTATGACCCTGGTACCAACCTTGAAAATGTCCTAAGCAAAAGCAATAAATATACATCAAAACTGACTTCTCCAACTAGACATAGTTCTCAATTTGTTTACCAGCCTATTTGAATGGACAGTAATGCCCTTCAGCAACTTGCAGGTGCTACCGCATTGTCAGGCAGATTGACTTGGAGAGTAATAGTCTTAATTCTTCGTTTGTATCCCTTGGCCCCTTTCAAAAATCCATCCTACTAGAGTTATGGTAAATAACAAAATGAAAAATAGAATGAACTAAAAAGTTGTAAGGCTTGTCACATTTCAATTTGATTTAGTTTGTAACTTCAAATCGCTAATTGTGTTCCTTGCAAGCCAAAACCAATAAAGCCTCATCAGGAATTGCTGGTAATGCCATAAAATACCAATAGTTTTTGAAACCACATTCTGTTAGTATGTATGTTGATAGGTCACAAATATATAATATTCATTTGCCCCCCACCCAGCAACCCTTGATGCTCCATCCTAGTTTTTTTCAGAAGTTATGTTGGTTGGCCATCAGAAGAGGCTTTTAGTAGTAGTACAGATTACAAAGCAGGAAGAAGGGATAGAAACCTTTTCTTCCATTAAGTTTTTAACTTACCTTACCTTAGGATCTGAGCCATTATAACAACTATGGACAACCCCCCCCCCCCCCCAAAACCTTACAGCAAACCTCTTCTGAAAATCGCACATTGTTTCAGTCCCCTTCCTCTGCTTACCTGTTTATATAATTATAATGCCCAACACTGTCAAGCAAGTGTTATGTGTTACATTACAATGATTCAAAAGATTATCTGTCAGAGGATGGTGCTTGCTGTAAGTGTGTATGATTTCAGATGTTAGGATTCATCTTACTCAACAAAAATATTTGTTTTGTTTCTCTGAGACACCACAGTGTCTTTTTTATAAAGGATTGTTTAATTTGGCTAATTGATCCTGATGCTTTACGGCTATTGCCTCTTTTAAACAAATATTTTGGCAATGCACAGTTACACAATGTATAGTTACTACTCAGATTTTGTACTGGAGCAGTTTTCAACATTCATGTACATCATCTTTAAAATTATTTACCTGCTTCATGGAGAAAAGACATGCTTCAGGGAATTGGGCTGGACAGTGTAAATGGATTCTCAGTGCCTTTTTAACAGCTAAAAAATGATTGTATAACATTGGAAAGTTAAGCACTCCTTATAATGCAGTGGATTAATGGGTAGCTTATAGTCACCATCCTTCAAAGGGATTTTTTTTGTACATTTGGCCTGCTGTTGTAGCTTATGTTTAATTGTTAGGAAGCTGTACTGTGTTTCATATAGATCCATGAAGGTATGTTGCAAAATAAAAATAAATGTTTTCATGGGTACCAAAGTGGGGATGCCTCCTTGGAGGTAAGGTGGCACTGGTTGTCATGGTGCTCACCAGGTACTATGTTAGGGACCTCTGGTCTAGGGCATAAGCTAATGTGTTCTTACATGCTACATTAAAATTCACTTAAAATTGTTTCCAGCGCAAGAAAAGTTGAAAAATGGTTCGGACAATGAAAATTCGATCAAGAGGCGATCGAGACATTCTACAAGTAGTAGTCATGACACTTTAGACACTGATGTTATCACACCACTGTTGGATGAAAGTCAACATTTAAAAGAGCTTGAATCTAGTCCAAAAGAAATCAATGAAGGTAGGTAGTTTATTTTTAAGTGGCTCTCTTACAGAGCTCTATAAATCAGGGTTGGCTGGTTGAGATGGTCCATGACCGAGTGCTATCCTGTCAACCTCCTCCCGTCCCTGAGCCTGTTTTCAAATTTATTTACATATCTTAATGTCTATTTTTCCACATAGTGAATTCTAGCTATCATCTTGGATTTACCCCATTGCCCAGAAGTGAAAAAAATTAGCTCCATCTTTTCTCTCCAGTTTCAGAACTAACTTTTCTGGGTACTGGAGAGGAATCCAGGATGGTGACCAAAAGGCACTCAAAATAAGAGAGAAAAAAAATAGAAAATGGAGCTTAGTATAGATCCACCAAGGAAGTTCCACCACTTCAGCTGCCCAAGTTTCTGTCACTGTGGTGTCAGGCCTGTCATTATGTTGCTTCATGTATGCATGTTGCTAAATCAGAATAATGTGCATTATTAAGAGTGTTTTCAATACATTTTCTTGGATTTTACAGGGGGTTGAGTGAACTTTACCTCAGGGTTGTACAAACTGAGCACAAGATATGACATTACATATGTCTTTCAAATGTGTAGATTTTTAAAAGTGCAAATTGCTTTAGTTCAGGCAGGGGAACTGATAATGTGGTCCTTAAGCACCTCCTGAAGTTACTATTGTTTTGGCTATGATTCAATATTCCCTTGTCCATTTCTACTCTGATTAATGAGGGCAGAATCAGTAATTAACTGTTATTCCCCTAATGTAGTTTTAACTGTCAGATTAGTTTATTCCAATCTGACTATACTTTGTTAGGTTGAAAACAAATTGCCCATTTTGCCCATTTAAATTCTTCACATAAGCCTTCAACAACTCGGTGTAGAGTTCACTATTTCAGACTCTTATTTGGACAGAGAGAGGGGGAGGATTAGATTCCGTGCTTACCAAACCTTTCATCTTTTAGGTCCCTTAGATGTATGTATTCAGTCTGACCGAAAGATAAGTGAAGAATTACTTCTCTCTTCAGAAGAAGTATCTCAGACTCCAGTAGATGACAGCAGATTAAAGGACGAGGACATAACAGAGTCTTCTTCTATGCTTGAATTGCCAGAGTTTTCAGATACTTCAGTTACAGGTAAAACTTGTCTAATGGAACTAATTAACTATCTATCTATCTATCTATCTATCTATCTATCTATCTATCATCTCGTTGAAAGACAGAAGGCAACTACTTAATTCGAAGAAGCTGGGGTGGTAAAATTTCAACAACATGCATATTATTATGATGAATATAATTACCTTATGAACACACATTTTTTGTTCTTGCAGTGACCAGTGCTTCTAAGAGAAACGATGATTTTACTGCTGCAAAGAGTATAATTGAGCATGAACCCAAATTTAGATGCAAGTTCTTGGACTGTTCCAAATCTTTTCGGAAAGCCAAACTGCTACATTATCATATGAAGTATTTCCATGGGATTGAGAAATCACCAGAGCCACAGCAGAATCTGGCAACAAGAAATATTCAGACAAGAGGTTCTTTAGCTTCTGAAAAAGCCAATCAGGAATGTTCTAACAGAAGGCGAACTACATCTGGTAGTTTGTGTAAGTGCTTAACTAAAAGACTTTTTTGTAATAACATTGAATTGTCATGACTTATTTGAAAGACATATTACTACTACCACTACTATCACCATCATTTGTTTCTGTAGTGCCCAACAGCTGAAGCAGTGTACAACAATTCCTAAAGTACTATACAATGAATATAAAATGTAAATAATAGAACATCATAAAATTCCTGTAAAGATTTTAAGCTGTACTGTAAACAACTAAGATAAGTTCAACTTATCCACATTATCTGCTCCCATCATACATAAAATGCATTTGGATAAAATATTTTCATTCTATAAGTTATAAAAATAGTGTTTTACTGATAACAATTTTTCTTAAGCTTCTAAAGAGAAGGAGAAGAACAAAGAGAAGAAACCCAGAGACATTGTAAGATCAAAATCAAAAAAGAAGAAGAAGAAGAAGAAGAAACCAAAATCAGGTAATACTTTTGCATGGAAAATATTTCATTTTATTGTCCTGCTTTGTAGATTTCCTGACTAATTTCTGTTACTCAGCAGAAAATATTGTTAAAACTTACTGTTATCCTGTTAAGCAGCAAAAAAGACATACATGAGACAAGTGTGTATTGGCTGCAGAGTCAGGCAACGCTGGCCTGTAGAGGAGGATGAGGCTATGTCTATAGGCCAGGCGTTTGTCAGCTCTTAATTCTGAGAATAACTGCCTCTTGCTGATAAGAGAGCAACCCCAGTGTGAGCAACCACTGGTGGCAGGTAGATAGAAACCATTCACACTGTGCTTGTACAAACATCCAGTCTGTCTGTACTAATCATCGCCCATTCATTGGCAGTGTGGTCATGAAGAACTAGTGCAGACTTAACAGTCTTGATTAATTAACCATGGAGTTTTGTGTGAATCTATTTTCTGTTGCATTTATTTTAAAGCATTAACACTTCCTAATGTTTACAGAACATTCAGGGAGTGAAGAAAATGTTGATTTTTCCCAAGATCTTTCTTCTCCGAGATCAGCCATTGCAACAAGATATAATTCAGCAAATCGAACTGGTGCGCATCTAAATACACAACTACATGGCTCTGATTCCGGGCATCGTAAAAATAAATTGAAAATAAATGGTGAGATTGATTTTTATATAGTTTTAACTTTAATGAACCAAGAAATACTAATAGAGGAATTGTTTTTCCCCCTTTTTAGTGTAAAGGCTTGTCAGCTCAGAAAGCATTAGTAACTGTATCAATATACTATCCTAAAACATGATCTACTTGCCTTGCAAACACATGTCAGCTCAAAATTCTAAGCCTTTTTGTAATAGTTATACCAGCTTGGTGTTTTATTTTAGTAGGCTTCTTAGTTTTGGACCTTTTTTCTTTTTGTAGCTTTTTTCTTTTTCAATTTTTGTTTCTTTAGCTATCCTAGATTGCTTTAGAATTGCTTTAACTGTGAATTACTTAAATGCTAAGGCAATGGCTTCCCTTGTCTATCTTCTGATGGTGAAGCCTAGCCATATTTAAGTAGTAACCATAAAAAATAATAACAGGGAAGACAAGAGGAGAGAAAAGAATTTAAAGGATGAAAAAGTATCTTCAGGGCTAGTTTAATGGAAAGAAGGGTGGGTACCAGGGTAAATATCAGGATAGGGTTACTGTTGGAGCAGCAAAACCTGCTTGCCCTCCAATCTAAGACACAGAGGCAGAGGCAGTGATTCTGACATAGTGGGAAATTTATTTATTTGATTTGATTTTTATATCACTCCACTAGCCAGAAGACTCCCTTGAATTAATTGCAGGAACTGGCAAGGACTGATACAAGTTGCACCTTAAGTGTAGAATAACAATGTAAAGAATGCGGGAGGATGTAATGGAAATACAGTTCTTTAAATGAACATGTTAAACCAATCATCTGTGCTACAAGCACTGATTTGCAAACAGAGATAACTAAGAGCAAGCCATATACTTGACAGAGTTATGGTTTATGCAGATTGCATACACAGTTGACAGAATGACCCATGAATCATGTTTGATGCAGTAAAAACACTTAAGTTCTTTATCTGGGATTAATTGGCTGGTCAGCTGGTAGGCTCTTTTGGTCTAAAGTGTTAATTTTAATATTGGATTAGTTTGAGTTGTAAAGATTATGTTATGTGCACTCACATAATCGGTTCTCACCTTGGGTCAGATCCAGTCCAGACCATCCACTTAATGGAACAATTTCCCCTCCTCGCAGTTTGTCTCATACCTCTGAAATTGCTCCAGAGGGTTGGGGGGGACCCTCTAGAACAAATTTGAGGAGCTGCATGGAGAGGATAATTATGCCCACGCAGGTCTGCTTTTGTGATGTTTGATCCTAACTCTTTGTGGTCTACCCTGATAAAGAAGAGCAATATCTTGTAAGAAGAGCAGCATTTTAAGTTAACTGATTCACTGTATATTGAACTCAGTTTCAGTATTTTTTCTATTTGAATTGTTTGTTTGGATTAAGCAATATCTGAAAGAGCACTTTTAAAACCCTTTAACAGGCATTACTGCAACAGCAAAATGAAATGCCAAGAGTAACATATTTATTGCATTTGAAGTCTCATTAATGGAGCCAAAATTATTTGCTGTGCCTTACAGTTTTCACTTGTTTCACTATTCTTTGATGAACCAGTCATCTACTAACAGTTAGTCCTTGATACTTATTTTTAAATAAATTGGGTTCCATAAGTTTTCATTCTAAATTACTGTATTTGAACCATTTATATCTTTCCAGAATTCTCAACCTTCAGGCTGAAATCTTCTAGATTTGTTTTCTCCTTAAAGGTGACTTGTATTTTTTAATCTTAAACCAGCCTTTACTTACTTATTGAGAGATGATATCCCCTACTCCAAAACAAATAAAACTTTAAAGAGAACATAAAGACTGAATACTTGAAAACAGTTCATTTTTTAATATATGGTATGGAAGAAATTAGGATACAAGAGAAAATGTATAGATCTACAGCTATATATTTCCCAAGCAAAGCCATAGGAATTACAGGGCAGTTAGAGCTGCTTGTTACAAACAAGTATGAAAAAATGTGAATTCCAATAATAAATTGAGGCTGCAATCCTATGCCCATTTATTTGGGAGTAGGCCCATTGAACTCCATAGCATTTTTTCAGTAGATATATTTAGGATTGCAGTATAGATAAATGGATCGTGCAGGTTCATGTGCCTCTGTAATTAGAGGGGCTTTTTGTATTTATTCTCACTTACCATAGTCTGCCTTTCTCTTACTTCCTGTATTATTCTTTGAGTTTGCTGGGAATGGTGTACTATTCCTAGCTGTGGGGCATGAGTGAGTATAACTAATACATTTTGCTGCAGTTGTAAAGATCTTCCTGCTGTAATCACAGCTGTCTTTCATAAAGAATTTGTGTTTAAAGAAAAGGCACCCAATTTAAATAAGTACCTCTTTATTCTCTGTAGAAATATATTAAGAAGCTTTAAAAGGAATCATACAGTTGTGAACTGTAACTGCAGATAACATTAGTATCAGACCTTAAAAATGTTCTAGTATGAGTTACTGGCTGGTTAGATTGATAGGCAGAGTGGTAGGGAGTATATTTGGTAGGAGGAAGCAACATTTTTCCTCCTCTGTAAAAATGTCCAGCTTCTCCCTTCACCACAAATTCTTCCTCTACCTAAAGGCACTGACACAGTTTAATAGGAATTACCTAGAGCAGTGATTTGCATTCTCTGTTCCAGAGAACTCTTGGGTTCTTTGAAATTTGAGAGGCTCCTTTGCTGAAAACATTTGTGATGCAGGTAATTTTTTTTTTTTTTTGACAGTAATCTTGTACACCAATACCAGTTTTCTCCTGTAATACGTAACTTAGTGTTTTCTAAGTTGTACCTTCATGAAGGTCACAAGTTGAGATTGATTGTTTCACATAAAACTGTCCTGAATTTTCTGCAAAACCTAGAGGTTCATGGGGTTCCCTAGCAGGCAAATGCTATGACGTGCCTGATTCTACCTAATCTTAGAAGCTAAGCGGGGTCAGGCCTGGTTGGAATCTGGTTGGGAGACTGGAGTCATGCATTGCATGGCCATTTGGACTCAGTAGCCTGTTAGCCCCTTCCAACTGTATGATTCTATGTGGAAACTATTCCCTAGTGTGGAAACTACTGACCTAGTATGTTCCCCTGTCCAACAGTGTTCCTGTGTTAGATACTCAAGAAATACTTCCAGTCACCCTGCATGTTCACAACCCAAGTGAGAAGGTGGGGAAAGGGAACTTGCAGAGTGACACTGCATTCTCCACTTCCTTTTTTCGCCTGTCCCTGCTATGTAGAGCTTACAACTCATATGTTCTCACACTGTTCTAGGCCTTCCATGTTCTGAGTGTGACAGAAACTTGAAAAACAGGAGATAGAAACTCATCAATACTCATTCTCTTCTCCATTTTTCACTTTCACACTTCGAGCGGTACAGTGTTGGGTACCTCCAGAGTGTACACTGGGTACACATGTGTTTTGTACACAGATTCCTTGCAATCTTAATGGAACCTTGTCGGACACATACATGATAGTGGTAGGTGGCGCAGCACTTGTCTTTATCACCAGATGATGGAGCTTCGGCTGTTCACACACAAATAAAGAGCTGTATGTGACAGCATCATTACTCTGAGGGTTGTGGTTCCCCCCTCCACTGCCCTTGGTGATTCAAGAGCCTGGGTCAGTTTTTTACATTTTCTCAGCTATGATTCGCATTAGTATCCATGTATGCAGTTCAACGACTACTCAAGAACAGAACCAGCCTTGTTGTGTTAGTACTTTGTACTAACTCACAGCCTAGAATCTGAGGTGGACCCTTAAAAAGAAGTTTTTATGTAGGTGGAAGACTTTGAGTATTCTATGATTATAAAGAAATCTTGATAGTGGGAGCAGATGGCTATTCAGATATGGCAAATGAAAGTATTTTGCTTAAAAAATGGAATTTGTAGATCTGCACAGGGTTATGCAGGAGTGAATTATATTTTCACTGGGTTTTACTAGCAAGTGAGTGTGTGTAGCTTTGTAGGCACATTTTGGTGTGATTCAACCAAAGTTAAGCATTTAGTCCCATTGATTTCAGCATGAGCTAATTTGTTTTATTTGTTCTATATCCCTACCCCACCCCCTCCAAATTGGCTGTAATTTTTACATTTAATTCTTCCATCGAAATTCATGGGACAATGTCTTTGGCTGGATTCCCTCCTATGTCTTACTATTTCATATTGGATACTTATTTAATATATCAACTGAACCTGGAGCAGAAACTATTTTAAGCATATTGGAATTTAAGTATAAATTGGAAGTACTCAATGGATATTTTTCAACCTATAATAATTTAAAATGATAATCTTTTTTGCAAATTTCGGAATTATTCAGACACCTTTTATTCCACTTGATTCTTTGCACACAGAGGATGATACCATGAGTGAGTCATCTGCAGATAGTTTGCATTGGAGTGATGATGACTGCAGTCGCGACATTGATGTCACAACTAATCCTGATGAGGATCTTGAAGATGATGATAATGACTTTGAAATAGTTCGGTGCATTTGTGAAGTGGAGGAAGAAAATGACTTTATGATTCAGGTATATAGTCAAAGATTGTGGATTTATATTGAAGTAAATGGAAACATGGTACGTTGAATAGGAATCAGTTGCCTTAAATGTATTGCAATTTCTTCCCAAATAGAGAAACTACTTCAGTTGTGTCTGTTTTAATAATAATGTGGGAAAACTTCAATGCCAAGTCTCGATAGTAGTGGTCCTTTGAAGCTTTAAATATTAGGTAGAATTGTTCGCTAATGAAGTAGGTGGTGTGGGAGACTAATAAGCTTTATTTTTTACGCTTGTCACTTCCTTCTCTTTCACTGTTCCAACATCGTTTAAAATTAAGTTAGTGAAAATATAGTTTTTCTTTAAAAAGGCTTTACTTCTGTTCTCTGAAAGCTTCTATTAGTTCTTTTTCCAGTATACATGGAACAAATTCTCAAAAAATTAGATTTGCAGAATTCTTCTGAATCCCCTTTCTTCTATTGAAGTCTTATATAAATAATCTTTCCTACAAAATGCTCTCATTTGTAATCCAAGGCTTCACTTCTTTTGTACAGAGTAGGGATAGACATTTGTCTGCCAGCTAGCTAGAGAGATGGAAGACTTAAGTCAATGTAGCACTATTTCAGCACAAGGGTCAGTAAATTAGACTGAAAAGCAATTTGCAAAAATTTTGCAAATTTTTGTGTTTACAGTGACATTTAAATTAGTTCTAATGTTGTTAAAACTTTTCTTTTCCCATTCAGAAATATGCATTCTGGTGGTTGCAATTATAACTTTCAAATATACAATGAGCATTATAACCCTGAAAGTTCTTCAGGTCAGAGTTTCTACTTGACTTTCTGTAGGCTTACCTAATTATGCTGGATGGTGTTTTTTCTCACCCTCTTTGATGATTAGCTTGTAGGCAGGAGGCATATAGAAAATGTCATTTTCATCCTTACTAAGTACTGGGAAAAACCTAAATTTTCCTACCATATATGATTCACAGCTGTAATTGCATGCCAGGCTATCCCACTGCATTTGGAGCAGAAATCTGTATAAGTAGATGGGAGAGATACAAGTAGATAAAAAGTGTGAAGGTTCACAGAGGGAAGGATTGGGGGTTTTTGGCTCAAAATACTTTATTAAAGCAAAGCAATTTGCTTTTCCATGCCCAATTCCAAACCTTTAAAGTGTATGTGAGGGCATCACTAATTCAGATAAGTTTGTAGGCTTTGGCAATGTTGTTAAAATGTATGTTTTCATAATATATGCCTTTGTTCCAATTCTTTTAACTTTCAACAGTGTGAAGAATGTCTCTGTTGGCAGCATGGAGTTTGTATGGGTTTGTTAGAAGAGAATGTACCTGAAAAATATACCTGCTATATTTGTCAAGATCCTCCAGGTACAAAGATTTCTAAAGTTGCAGAATCTTCTAATAGTATGTAGTAATTATATTATTTTGTGCCTTTTGTTATTAATTTACATTCTGATAATTTGTTGGCATTCGTGATTATACATCCAGCATGATTAATTGAATATTGCTAAGTTTTTCTTTGTTGTTTCTTTCATAATCATTGCACCAAATGAAAGAAATTTGACAAGTGCTAGTAACAGGCCATATAAATGGATGCATTTTACAATTGATGTCCATCATAGCATGAGAAAGAGAAATTACACTAGTTAAATTTCAGTCTGTATCCTCTGCCAGTTGCCTTTCCTATCTTCTGAAAGAATATACTGTGGGAATCTGTTTGGTTATGACCTATTTTGGTTATATGCAAAGCCATTAAGTAGTTTAATAGCTCAGCAGAGCTAAGCATTAAACAGTGCATTTGGTTTAAGATCCAGGTGTTGCTTGCACCATAATTTCTTAGAATTCACATTGAGAGGCTTTTTAGTAAAAGGTGAAAAGGCTTATTTACTCAAAAACAATCCAAATGTGACTTACATGAAGGAGACATTTTGGTATTTTCATGCATATATCTTGTTTCATTGTTAGCTGCTAAGCTTAAAGAGAAGGAGGAATTTAAAAATATGCGTCTCTCACATGTTTGTGGCTAGGAAGATCTGTGAGCTAGATGTTTAATGGTGGCAACAGCTTTAACCTTGCTAAGCCCAGAGAATGTTGTGTTTGTATTCAAGTGTATTTATGTGGTTAACTAGAACCAAAACATTTTTGTATGTTTTTATTCAAGTGTGTATAATGTAGTGGGTTCAAATAATTTTTTTGTACAATACAATTTGCATATGTTTATGCAGAAGCAATGCCCACTATCTTCAGTGGTCCCTACTTGCAAAGATTTACTTCCTTTGTTTTTATGACAGTCTCATAAATCTTGTAAAAATGCTGGCTTACAATGAAACTGCTAGATTTGCATTTTAATACACTGTGGTTCTTTGTCGTGACACCCCGCATCACACATATGGGTGCTGCGCCTGCGCAGTGCCTTTGGCCGGAAGATTACAAGATAACAGTTGATTTTGGCAGGAAAGCTCCACTCCCCCTCCCCCACAGCCTATAAAGAGTGGAGTGTCCGCCATTTTGTTCAGTCTTTGCGACCACCGTTCGCTGTGCCTCGTGCTGCTTTCGACAATTGCTTTGATCGTTACTCGTAGCCTATTTTTCCTTCCTTTACTCCCAGTTTTATATCCCTGATAGTTCTTGTTAGCTCTAGTTATTCCGCAGTTCTATTGTTCTACCATTCTACTTTTCCGCTTTCTTCTTCTAAAAAAAAAAAAAAAAAAAAAAAAAAAATATATTTTACCTTCTGCACTGTCTTCCTTTTTCTTCTTCTTGCAATGGCGCAGCGAGCGGCCTTCTGCAAATGTGCAGAATGCAGGTCGCAGATGTCACCATCTGACCCGCATGACCTGTGCCTCCTCTGCTTGGGGGAGGGGCATAGGACCGACAAGTGCTCCCACTGCCTGGCCTTCTCCAAGCAGGCCAGAAAAAATCGGGAGAACCGCCTCCGGAGGCTCCTGTGGGATCAGGCTCTTATGCAGTCCGACCCACTGGTCGCCGCTCCGAAGCCCGGCCCGGCTATGGTGGTCCCGCACTCGCTCCCGTCGGACGAGGGTGCCTCTACTTTGAGGGCCCCACCAGCTTCTCCCAAAAAGAAAAGTGAGAAGCGCAAGCACGCAGATGCTGACAAATCGACTAAAAAGGCCAGGAAAGAGAAGCCTTCTAAACCGGCCTGAAAGTCGAGAGATCCGGGCTGGCCTCGACACCGCGTCTCGGGTTTGACAGCAGCGTCAGTACTGGCACCAACCACCGTACCAACTCCACCCAAGCCAGCACTCCAGGCAGCCATGAGGGTCACCCCTCAAGGCTCTCCCCATTGTGTGGCTGACCTCCCAGCTGAGCCGCTTCCATCCCTCCAGCGGGGGTCCATCTCTGACGGGGAAATTCAGGACTCTCCCCCCAGGGCTAGATCACCAACGCCTATGCCCATGGCCACACTGGAGGCGGATGTGCTTGAATCTCCGCCCAGGGCCCGCCGGAGTCGCTCCAGGGAGCAGCGATCCGAGCAGCGATCCGAGCGATTCGAGGACTGGTGTCGCTCCTACTACCCATCTTGGGGCAAGCCATACTCGATTGGGTACTATCCTGCGCCGAGGGATCGGTCCCCACCACGCTCTCATGATTGCCCGCTGCCGCTGGATCCAAGACGCACATCCCCGGTGCCCCGGGAGGAAAGCAGCCGGTCCGTTTTGCCAGCAGAGTCTTCTTCTTTGGCCCCTCCGTACTACGGCGCGGACTCCAATGACTCGGACGTCGATTCTACCTCTCCCGACGTCGCGGTGACCTCCCAGGGCCCCGCATCACCAGACGAGTCGCACATTTCTTTTGCAGAGCTGATGTCCAGGCTCGTCCAATCCCTGGACATCAACGCTGTCCAGCGGCCAGGACCGTCTACAGATAAGATCTATGACGTCATCTGCTGGGAGCAGTCCACCTCCATCGTCCTGCCCTTGATCACCACCCTACGGCAGGCGATGACCCAGCCCTGGGACTTGCCCTCTCACCATCAACCAATATTGCGGAGGTACGAAGCCATGTACCGGGTTCGGGAGGAGGACATACCATTCCTCCTCTGACACCCCAAGCCGAGGCGACGTTGGCGAGATACCAGTATTTTATAATGCAACGCCTCCACAACGTCGTCTCGGCCCCAGACCAACAAGGCGAACTGGCTGAAGTCTTGATTAAGGAGGTGATGCACGTCACGGTGGAACAGTTGTCCACAGCCAGGCACCATGTGGACACTAACTCGAGGGCATTGGTCGGTGCCGTTTCTCTTCGTAGGCATGCGTGGCTGAGGTGCGCCAACTTCCCCGAAGAGACCAAGCAGCGTATCGAGGAAATGCCCTTTGACGGGTCTGGGCTTTTCCATTCAAAAACGGACCATAAACTTTAAAAACTTCATGAGTCCCGCATGACGGCCCGACGGATGGAGCTCCAGTTGCTTCCGAGGCGTAAGTGGCCATGGAACTGTCCACCCTACAGACAGCCTTATCATCCCAGGCAACAGCCTCAGCACAGGCAACAGCAGCAGCGCCGTTGACAACAGCCCCAGCAACGCTACCAGCAGGGCCACCGACGATATGATGACAGGAGGCAGCGTTGATGGGACTGGCGAAGCATTCCTCTACCCTATCCTATACCCACCCCCCTCTCATCCGCGGACTGGCTGCGAAGCCGACTCCCCATTTGGGAGTCCGTCACATCTGATGGATGGGTATTATCTATCATACAGCACGGCTATAGGATAGAATTGGATACTGTTCCTCCATCGAGTCCGATTCGGTTTACATCTTGCACACCAGTATTGCTCAATGAAATACAACTTCTTCATAAAGGAGCGATTCGTCAAGTAACTCAATGTGACGGGCATCACGGATTCTATTCTAGATACTTTACCGTTCCCAAACGGGACGGTGGCCTGCGTCCAATTTTAGACTTACGTGGTCTGAATCGATTCATCGTGACGAAGTTTCGAATGACCACCCTCCAAAATATTTTGCCGCTGCTTAGGAAAGAGGATTGGTTTGCCTCATTGGACTTGAAGGACACCTATTTTCATATTGCAATCCATCCCAAATATAGACGTTTCCTTCGCTTTGCTGTTGCCTCCAATTTCTACGAATTCATGGTTTTACCTTTCGGTTTGGCTACCGCTCCGAGAGTGTTTACTAAATGCATGGCCCCTTCTTCTCTTCTTCTCCTTCCGGTACAGAAGCTTATGTTCATCGGAGCCCACTTGGATTCGACGTTGGAAAAGGCGTTCCTCCATCGGGACAGACAACTGACTCTTGCTCGCCATGTTCATCGAATGCGACGAGACAGATTGGTTCCGGCAAAGTCCATCCAGAGGCTTCTAGGACATATGGCTTCCACTGTTGCAGTGGTGCCACACGCCAGACTGCGACTCCGTCCTTTGCAGCTATTTTTCAACAAAGTGTTCCACCCACAGAGGGATCCACCGTCGAAACTCCTTCGAGTCCCATCCTTGGTCCTCCATTCGCTACTTTGGTGGTCGGTCCCGACCCATCTGACTGTTGGGGTCCCCTTCAGGCCCCGAGGCCCATCGATTACAGTCAGTACCGACGCGTCTCTTCTAGGTTGGTGAGCAATATGCTCCGGCCTGTATACTCAAGGCATGTGGACTCGTTAAGAATCCACGAAACATATCAACTTCCTGGAATTGTTGGCCGTGTTCAAAGCCCTACGCTCTTTCGAAGATGTTCTTCAACATCGGGTTGTTCAGATAACGTCGGACAACATAGCCACCATTTTTTATCTGAACAAGCAAGGTGGGACGAAGTCTCCAACTCTGGCCAGACTTTCTATGCAGATCTGGGACTGGTGCATTTCAAGAGATATTGCGATAATAGCAGTCCATCTGGCCAGTACGGACAATGTCAAAGCAGACCTTCTCAGCAGGCACATGCTCATCTCTCACGAATGGGAACTGGACCCCCAGACATGCGACGACCTTTTCCATCGCTGGGGGTTCCCTGATGTGGACTTGTTCGCCACACAACAGAACAAGGTGTGTGCGACTTTCTGTTCGAGAGTGGGAATCGGACACGAATCCCTAGGGGACGCCTTCATGATTCGATGGAACAATCTGAATTTCTACGCCTTCCCACCAATTCCGCTGGTGATGAGAGTCATAGCGAAGATTGTTTGCGATCGGGCCACAGGGATACTAATTACTCCGTGGTGGCACGCCAACCTTGGTTTCCCACACTGCTGGACATTTCTCACAGGGAATACCTACATCTTCCACCACTTCCGTTCTTGATAACCCAGAGAGACGGCGCACTTCGCCACCCAGATATATTATCATTAAAACTAACAGCGTGGCGAATCCGATAGCTGACTTTGCTACGTCTTTACCAGCCACTACTCCAAGGGGTTTGAATCTGACCTTCAAATCCACTACTGTCCTCGTTACGTCTACACCGACAACTACTTCAAAGGGTTCGAATCCTACTTTCGAACCCAATACAGTTGCAAGCTCCGAATCCACTGGGGACGGCATTGCATCAGCACTGTCGGATCCGACTACTGTGCCATCGAATCCGACAACCTTTCATCCAAACGTTCAATACATATTGGACTCCACTTTAAAGCCTTCTACACGGAAGTCTTACAAAGCTAAATGGAAGCGTTTCTCCACCTTTGCTGACTCTCGTTCATTCTCTCCATTTACATCAACGATTCCTCAAATTCTTCAGTTCCTCCTGGAATTACACCACTCTGGACTGAAACCATCTTCGATTAAAGTATATACGGCGGCCATCGCCTATCATCGGGGTATGGTGGACAGTTCGTCCATTTTCTCCCAACCTACTATTAAAAGGTTTTTAAAGGGACTTTATAATCTGAACCCGTCGATCAGACTAGTAGTGCCCACCTGGAGTCTCTCTGTTGTTCTGCAGGCGCTTACGAGACCTCCTTTCGAACCGTTGGCCTCAGTCGATTTACATCTTGTCTCATGGAAGACAGCATTCCTAGTTGCGGTTACCTCAGCCTGGAGGGCCAGCGAGCTCTGTGCTTTACGCGTAGACCCACCTTTTCTCAATTTTCATAGGGAAAAGGTTGTCCTGTGGCTCGATCCATCTTTTCTGCCTAAGGTATCCACACCCTTTCACATGGGGCAAGATATTATTTTACCTGCCTTTTTTCCGGCTCCGTCTACTCTGTTAGAAAGGGCATTACATTCACTTGACGTTCAACGCTGTTTAGCCTTTTACAGATCCAGGACTGAGTCTATCCGACGTTCACATAGACTCTTCATTAAATATGCTACTAGGGGCCAAGGCACCCCTGTCACTCCGCAGAGACTTTCTAAGTGGATAGTTCATACCATCACCTTGTCTTACCAACTGGCCAATATCGACTTGCCCACTACCCCTTGAGGCCATTCGACTAGGGCTGTGGCTGCCTCATCGGCCTTCTCATCGGGGATACTGATGGACGATGTATGTAGAGCTGCTATGTGGGTGAATCCTTGCACTTTCGCCAAACATTACCGCTTAGTCGTCTGTGCTCGACAAGATTGTTCCTTCGGCAGAGCCGTTCTTTCATCTGTTCTTCGTTGAGGACACCTTCCCTCTTCCATTATGGTAAGCTTGTTAATCTACCCATATGTGTGATGCACAGAGGCCACGACGAAGAAAAGCAGGTTGCTTACCTGTAACTGATGTTCTTTGAGTGGCCATCTGTGCAGTCATACAACCCACCCGCTGGCCCCGCTCGGTGTCGGTGAGTGGACCTTTGTCGTTATTGAATGTTATCATTGTTTCTTGGTACCAATATTCATTGTTCTCTTGGTACCGATACTGTTCACAGTAGAACTCATTTACAAATCATTTTTTCCACATGAGGGCGTCCGTTCGGTCGTCAAAGACTGAACAAAATGGCTGATGCTCCGCTCTTTATAGGCTGTGGGGGAGCGGGAGCGGAGCTTTCCCGCCAAAATAAACCGTTAGCTTGTGATCTTCCGGCCAAAGGCACTGCGCAGGCGCAGCACCCATATGTGTGACTGCACAGATGGCCACTCGAAGAACATCAGTTACAGGTAAGCAACCTGCTTTTGTGGGTCTTTTTAAGGAAAATATTTTTCCAACTCTATTTTACTAGGTCTTAAAATCTCTTAGAGAGGATTCAGGTATGATATAATACCATTTTTCATGGACCAATATCCTTTACTATTTAAGAGGTTTTTCTGCCTTTTGGAATATTGTAGTAGAGTTGACTTTTGTATTGTTCCTTTCTAGAAGTCAGCATTTAGGAAAAAATAATTATGAGGTAGTGAGTTAGAACTTTGCTAATACTTTTGTTTTTTCATGTACTATTAAAAACATTTGCTACCTTATTGCTGTTTTAGGTAAACGTTCCAGCTTGAAGTACTGGTATGAGAAGGAGTGGCTTTGCAATGGTCACATGCATGGCTTAGCATTTTTGGGAGAAAATTATTCACATCAGAATGCTAAGAAAATAGTAGCTACACACCAGCTTCTTGGTGATGTGCAAAAAGTAATAGAAGTGCTACATGGACTTCAACTGAAGATGAGCATCTTGCAGTAAGTACTGTTTTAAACCATCTTTATTTTAATTTTACTGACATATTCTGAAGAATCAAATATAGTCCTAATTGCAGATTTATATTATATACACTGCTACACAAATTCAGGTATTTCTGTTTTTATTCTTTTAGCCTTGTGATCTGTCCAGAGAACCTTTGTAGTTTGGAGTAAAATACAATAAATTGAAAATACCTATAGATATAAAATGCTCTGGTGAGCACATAACAATAAACTATAGCTTAGCATCACACCTTCAAACCATAGTTTATGAGATTAGCTTCTTTCAACTGACAGAAGTTACACTTAACTACAGTTTTGGGTTTAGAGAGCACAGTAGCTGTAGGTGTTTTAAAACAAAAGCAGAAGCTTTGGGATTGCATAGCTGTAGTAGGGGAAGGGAGAAGCTGCAGAAATTGGTAAATGGTTTAATAATTATGTTCAAATGCAACTCTAGAACAGGAAAAGGCTATTTCTTTAATGCCTCTGAATCTTCTAACCAGCATGATCAACTAGGTAGGGATTGTGTGATTTCAGTGTGAAAAATGCCTACTCCAGTCTCCACTTGGCTGTAAATCTCCGATGAAAGGCTCCATCTCTCAAGAAATCCAGCTATGGTCACAAAAGACTTTGAACAACAAATTATATTGGTTTTACTTATATTTTCCCAGAATATGCAGCTTAATATATGGCAGGCATAAACTTCTCTAGCCATGTTAATATTTTTTTATTGGTAAGAGCTCATATAACTTTCTGGAAAGATAATACTTGGAGCACCTTGGCCTTCTACATTTGGTCAAAGAAGTGAAAAAGAGAGGCTACTGTGGTTGCCATGGGGGGTAGAGTATGCTCCTCTCCAGGAAAACAATTCACCATTTACCTTTATTCCAAGAAAAACTACACCTATTATATTTCTACATGCCATCTTTCTGTTCAGTCCAAAAGAACAGAGTAGGTTACTGTGGGAGGTGCTGTGAATATACCTGCTGCTCAGGAAGAGGTATTCCTTTCTGTATACAATCTTTCATAGTCACCAGGAAGCTCTGTTTTTTTTGCTGAAATAATTTTATATTATTCTCAGTCTTTGTTTGGAGTAGTTTTCAGAACTCTTACTATATTTATGTATTATATTTTAAACTGTCTAACAGCTAAAGCGGCCTGGGCCATTTCAACAGATAAATTTAAAACAATTTAAAACATAAAATGAAGTATAAAAATTTAAATAATTAAAATGACAGTATAAAAGTGAAAACTAGGGTAAAACCTAGCACAGTACAAAGATTGAAAATACTATACAAAATTAATAAATTCCTGGGAAAATAAGGTGTTCATTTGACACTAGAAATAGTACAATGTAGGTGCCAAGTGAGCTCCCTGGGAAGTTCATTCCACAGTCAGGATACCACAGCAGAAAAGGTCCTCTTGCCAGAAGCCACCCACCTGAATTCCCTTTGCAGGTGCTCCCTCAGGAGGACTGCTGAAGATGATCTTAAGTGTCTGGGCAGGTATACATGCAAAGAGATTATCTTTCAGATAACCTGCACCCAAGCTGCTTAGTGCTTTGAATGTTAATACCTGTACTTTGCATCAGGTTCAGACATGGTAAAGCATTGAGCTATTATCAAATTGGCTAATCTGTGTTAACCACCTTGCTGCCCTGTTTTGGACAGCTGAATTTTCTGTACTGCTTACAAAGTATATCACATATAGCACATAGCAGTAATCCAACTAAGATGTTACATCTCTGTCCAGGTAAGATACAGCTTACATATCACTCTAGACTGATAAAAGCTGCTCTGTGCCATTGAATACATTTATGCCTTTAGTATTCTCCCTAATCCTTTAGGAAGTGTGACCCTCTCCAGAACCAATTGAGTATCACACATGTAGGCAGGCAGACAATCCTTTCACAGTACCTCTGTCTTGTCTGGATCGAGTTTCAGTTTATTAGTACTCATCCAGTCCATTACCATACCTAGATGTGTATCCAGAACAGCCATTGTCTTGACTAAATTTGATGAAGAGATAGAACTGGGTGTCATCTGCATATTAATGTCACCTCAGCATATGCCCCCAGATATCCCCCCCCCCCAGGAGTTTCATGTAGATGTTAAACAGCATGGGATATAAAATGGAGGTCTGTGGAACTGCATAGTATAACTGCCAAGGCAAAGAGAAATAATTTCCCAGCACCACCTTCTGGAATTAACCATACAACTAGCAGCAGAACCACTGGAATGTAGAACCTCTAACTCCCAATCCTGTACTGAGAAGGATACAGTGGTTGATGGTATTGAAAGTCATTGAGTGATTCAAAATAAGCAACAAACTTCCCCTGTTCCTCTTCTAGCAGAGGTCATTCAACAGAGCAATCAAGACAGTTTCTGTTCTAAAACTAGGCCTGAGGCCAGTTGAAATGGATGTAGATAATCCATTTCATGAATAGATACCCCAACTTTCCTCCACTTGCAAACCACCATCTTCCTGCCCTCCTCACCATCCTCCTGCCCGCCAAAGAAAACCAAACCAAAATTGTGTCCTTTTGTATGTGTTGTGCCAGTCTCATGGTTGTAATGGTAGCCATGAACAATGTGGGATTCGTTTTACACTAAAAGAGCTAATCAAATTTAAATGTATTCTCCCATATGTGTTGTTAGAGTACTTGTTAATCTCTCTTATTTCATGTTTTCTTGGTCACATTACATCTGTTTAATACCATTCTTCAGCACTTTGAAGCTGAATAAAACTCTGCATTTTAAATGGCCAGATATCAAACGCTGATGTAGTAACATTTTCCTCAAGTCACTGAAATCTGATTCTCAAATGGTTCATATTGATTAGTATATTTATTTCAGATAAATAGTGGAAATGTTAATAAATATTGAAGTTTTCAGTGTGACTTTCACTTGTTTATTTCTTCATTAGAAGCAAAGAGCATCCCAATTTGAAACTCTGGTGTCAGCCATGGAAGCATCTTGAAGTAGAAGAAAAATCAAATTCCACACACCTCATTCACATTGAAGAAAATTGTTGTAAAGAGGAGACCACAAGTTACAGAACTTTTAATGGAACCATTGAGAAACCTTCAACCATTCCTTCTGTAGAAGAGTCTTATATCACTAGTGAACATTGTTACCAAAAACCTCGCGCCTACTATCCTGCTATAGAACAGAGACTTGTTGTAGAAACAAGAAATTCAGACATAGACGATGGTGTCAATCGGATTAGAGAGAATGGAGATGATACTGTAGTGGAAAGATTAGGATGGGAGCTGGATAGAGAAATACGCAAGGTGGAAAATGAGTCAAAACATAATTACTCTAAGGTATATTTTTCTATTATTTTCTTGATTTTCATAAGTTGGGAGGAGGAGAATCTAAGCCAAAGAGAAATGGAGGACTGGAATCCTTCCTTAGTGAAGAGCCAAACTTGGTGTCTGAGGGTAAAGCAGATGCTAGTTGTCTGTGTACAAATACAAATAACCAGAGAATGCATTGCCAATTAACTATATTAAAAACAGTGCAATTGAAATTCCTTACATTGGATAACCATTTCCAAAAATTTTGATGAAATTCAAACTTAAAGGTTTTTTTTGCTAGGGAGACTCAAGGATAAATATTGTTATTATACAATTAATAATTTTAAAAAGTTCTGTTCTGCTTTCATCTCAGTATTCTAATCTTTTAAAATTAATACTTTCATAATTTATAAAACAAAAGTTATTACTCCAGTTGTATTAGGACTTTTGTAATGGTTGCATAAGAATTATATATAGAAACCTTAAAGATATACTAGCTATTTTAATACAGATGAACAAATTCCTGAATTCTTAAAATATTTTAGTAAGCATAGTATTGTGCCACAATTTACTAAGAAAAAAATAGTTAAAATGTTTCATTTGTTACATGTTAAAATGTTTCAAATATGTGTCAAAGCAGGTGACTGATACTTTTCATTGATTATTGATCATATCTTTTGATCTCAAATTATTAGGTAATGTATACAACTGCTTGTATGTTCAAGTTATTGTAAAATGTACCTTTAAAATTATAGTGGTGGTTTCAATGCTTAAAAGAATAATTAACGGGCATATTTTGGCAGGTAAGAGAAAAAGTCACATCAGAAGAAGATATTGAAGTGAAACTGCTGGAAAAAGAGAAGGAAGGAGTTGTGAATTCTCAGCTGCAATGGCAGTTGAACCTTTTAGCTCATGTAGAGTCTCTGCAAGATGAAGTTACTCATAGGATGGATTTAATTGAAAAGGAATTGGATGGTAAATGACTAGGGTTTTCTTCAGCTTCTTGGGTCTATTTCCATTTAAAATGCAATTATTTTTTTCTGTAATTGCTGAGGCCATGGTGGTACTTTTTAGCTATTTATTTAAAATCTACAGAGTGATGCAAAATTCATCTTACAAAAATAGATCTATTAAGAGAACTTAAGAATATGAATTCTTGAATGAGCATTACAACTTAAGAAGGGGAGTCAGATATCTGACCCACACCTCTCACAATGTGCCAGCTTACCTCCCCAGCACTAGAAAATTGACCTCAGAAAAGAGCAAAAGGGGTGTGCTGATGGACAGGGAAGAGAGGATATCAGAGAAACAGGATATGAGTTATCCTGAACCTTCACCAGCCTTTTCTTTGCTTTCAAAGTATTCTCAATAGACAGACTGTAGAGTCCATCTAAGGGAGAAGGAAAGGAGATCATAGCACAGGAAGGCAAATCTCCTCTGCTGTTCCTCCTGCCCTGCTAGCTTCAGCCTAGGAGGATATAGGAATCTAAGAAGCCTCCACATTTGGGGGTTTCTGTGCCACAGTAGACTGCACCCTAAGTAAGATTACTTCAGTGTAAATTTCACTATGTGTTAAAGGTTTGTTGTTTGTCATTTCTCCTTTGAATAAAGTCTGTTGACTTGCCTGTTTTCTAGTAGTCAGTAGCCATTCTTGAATCACTGGGACCTGAAGACATTCCCAGTGTCAGAATGCTACCTGGAATGTAAATAAAAACCACTAATAAGAGGTGTAGTACTAAACCATGCCCTGTAATTTGTGAAGTAAGTTTGAAATTTGCCTCCACTAATTCTGAGTGAATGGTTAAAGCTACTACATGCGCTGCAAATCTATTCTGCTAGTCCCACATTTCCAACATTCAAATACTGTAGTTGTTTATGCAAGTACTTGTAAGACTTATTAACATCCCGTTACATGATGCAAGTATCAAATGCTGTTGGAAAAGCAAGAAGCAAATGCTGTGTTTCCCGGGTAAAAGATGTCATAATTATAGCCTTAATAGACAGGTATATCAGCCAAGTTGCTCTGGTGTTGCCTATATCTAGATATTTCCCAATATGCTTTAAAAGTACAGTTTTCATAAAGAGTTTGGATGTAGTATAATTACTTTCTGAGAGTCCTTTCAGTTTCTCATTTCTCATGCTTAACAAATAAGGGGAAACCAATTTATTTTAAATTAAATTTCTAAACTTTGAAACCAAGGAGAGTTGTAATCACTGACTTTACCCTAATATACTGCCTTGTGAATAGTTGCTCCTTTACTGGTTTATATTTTGTTTTTCTAATAACTGAAATATTCTAGCACTCTCGTTGATACTAAATGTTTATGTGTACTAATACATTAATGGAGATCAAATCAATACTTAAGTGGCCTTTTTCAGCATAAGTTGTAGAATTAATATATATTCCACCTGAGGGCCTCTGTCTTCCTCCATTGTTCCAGCAGTGTACATAAAAGAATACATATATACAGTTGTCCCAATTTATGTCATATCCTCAAGATTATGTGATAACCAGAGCAACTGTGCTGCCTCATAATATGTTAAACTGGTGCTAGCCAATGTGTGGTGGCAATTGTATTGGCTTCACTCCATCAATGACCCATAAGTTCAGTCTTGTATTGAAAAGTTTTATCCGTTATACATACGTTTATAAAATTCTTGTCATGTTCTAGTTTTTTGTAGTCTTGTTTATAAATTAAAAATCCTCCTAGCCTTTTCTACTAAGGAAAGTGCTGCAGCTACCCTGATCGTTTTGGTTGTACTTTTCTGCTTTTCCCATTCTATAGTGCCCTTTTTTCAAGACTAAAATTTTGCATAGTATTCTAAACATAGCCAAACATTTTATACAAAGCATTGTAGTCCTGATAGTTATGTTTTCAGTCCCTTTGCTTATAATTCCTAGCATTTATAATTAACCGTTTGTGTAGCTGTCATAAACTGAGTTAGTATTTTCATTGAGCTATCCACTACATTTGCAAGATGCTTTTCCTGGATAACCACCGCCAGTTCAACCCCCATCAGTGTTTATATGCAGTTAAGATATTTTGCTTCAGACACACATCACTCCATATCCGTCAATTCCTTTTGTGATTTTGTTGCCCATTCATACAGTTTGGAAAGATTCTGTCAGAGTTCTTCACAACGTACATGGATTTTCAGTTCCTGAATAATTTAACCATTTAATCACTCACATTTAACACCAGTTCACTGGTGGAGAGGTTGAATGCCACTGGTCCCAGTATAGACCTACTTTTATTTCACTCAGTTGGGCGTGTTGGGGGGAGTTTTATTCCTATCCTTTGCCTTCTGTTGTTCAATCAGGTACTTGAACCATAAGAGGACCTATCCTCTTATTCCATGACTTTTAGGTTTTACTCAGGAACGTTTGGTGATGGACTGTGACAAAAGCTTTTTACAAGTGTCTACTATATCACCACATCCACGTGCTTGTTGAAAGTACTCCAAAAGGTTGGTGAGGCTGGACATCTCTCAGCCATTCTGATTTGTTATCAGCAAGATTTGTTCTCCTGTATGCTCAATAACAATGTTTTTTCACCAATCTACCCAGAGCAGATATTAACCTGGCCTGTAATTTCCTGAATTCCCTTTTTTAAAATTGGTATTATGTTCCCAACTGTCAAATCCTCTTGGTATGGGGGAAAGCATGTGTGTGCGTGTGTGTGCAGGATAAAACTTATGTTTCCATGGTAGATATTACTAGAATGCTCCCCCCCCCACAAAAAAAAGGGCAGGGGAAAGAATATGCCGCTTTCATAAAATATATGTGGGAGTATTTCTGAGCAGTAATGTTACTTTATTTTCTTTCCAGTTTTAGAGAGCTGGTTGGATTATACCGGAGAGCTGGAACCACCAGAACCACTAGCTAGACTACCCCAACTTAAACATTGTATAAAACAACTCCTTACAGACTTGGGCAAAGTACAACAAATAGCACTTTGCTGTTCAACATGATGTTGGAGACTTCTACAGGATGGCTGGAGCATACCACAAGATGAGCACTCTCTGTTTAAGTGGATTAGCATGCTTGCTGCATGTTGATACAGAACTGACTTCAGGGAATTGTATAGGGACAAGGGTTACTCTTCAGAGAAGTAATGAGATTGCCCTTATTTTTGTTTGTTTGGCTTTGCTAGGCATTTTTAACATTATGGAAAGGGATTTATTCAGACGCTAAGAGCAGGCTGACAATAGACTTTTCATTCCTTGTATCAAGTTGTTGAATTAAACATTAATGTTCTTCGCATATATACACTGACAAAATTGTGCCACTGGAGAACAAAGTTCTAAGAGCCAAAAATGATTAGTTGACCAAGGCTGTAAATTACATTCTGCATAGTTTATTTAAGTGAATAGTGTACCAGATGGAGTCATACTTTATTCAAATGGTTTATGCATAACCACAGTATTTAATCAATAGAAAATATTATTTTCAAGCCTAGCAAGTATGAATGTCTAATTTTATTGTAAACTGTTACAAGAGTTGGCAGATAATGACCTGAAACTTGTCTACTATTTTAAATAGATGTAGTAGAAGGTCACAACTTGGTTGCACTTCTCTTACTAGTAAATGATTGTTTTCCATATTTATCATGTCATTGTAGCATGACTTTTATGGTACTGGGAAACCCATTTATGTTGTACTTCTGTGCATTCTTGAATTTCTAAATCTGACCATGCTGTGCCTCCCATGACCTAGTGCTGATGCAACACCCTTATGGAAGAGTACAGAACAGTCTGTGAGGTAAAAGGTATACTACACAAATACAGATTTAGCCATGGTCCGTGATAGACACAGAGTAGTTTTCTATCCTACTGTTAATAATTGCCATTCCGGTTATAGTTTAAAATGTAGTCTTTTACATATTATAAACTTTCTCATTGTAGAGACTTGTAAATGTGTGGTTTTGGGAATCAGTTTATTTTATATTTGTGTAAATGAAGCCTCAAGATCTATGCATGAGGTACTGTCCCTAAAAGCAGTGGGACATTATGTTAAACAGTATGTTTTCAAAATCCCTTTTGTACTCTTCATTTTTAGTTTTCTTATTTGTATTATTTGTGAGAACAAAGTGAAAATGCTGCTTAAGTTGAAGCTTATACATTATACAGTACCTTTTGAAAACATTGGTGTATTGTAAGTATTTGATATGTTTAAAAATGCATTTGCCTGCAGATCTTATTTCCATCATTGTTTTTTTCTTTTTTTGTTAGATAACATCTGGGACAAAAGTTAACTTTGAGGTAGACAGGAGTGGACTATTTTTGCATTGAGGGTGTTCTGAATGTTGGAATTTGTATTACCTTGGTAACAAAATTCTGGTTTTGACACCACCAAAGTTTAAGATTAAAGCACATTTGTGAGTTGAAGACCTGTTAAGTGTACAAATTGATAATTATGGATATAAATCTGTAATGTTTATATGCTGCAGAATTATGTAAATTTCAGTTAGCCAATGTTTGTCACAGAAGTAACAATGACTACAATTAACATTTTGACCAGCTGATTTCTTTCTCAAATAATTTCTACACTATTCAGAGTTGAAACAAAGGATTTTGTGCCAAGACTAATTTCAGGGAAAAATTTGTCTCCAATTCCTTGGCACTTATTGGTTATGAGTGTAACATCTGTACAGCAGATAAAACTTATTTTGCTGTAATAATTTGGAATAAAGCTCATGTGATCATTAAATGACAATTGTCTCAAAGTAGCATAGTGCTTACATTGTGTGATAGCTAGTCACCCAGGTACAACTACTATCCATTTTTCTGCTGGACTAACCTTTATGTCCTCCCAACACTTGATCCATTTGTTCCTTTTTGTTTTGCTTTGGGATGCAAATATCCAGTGGTTGGAGGTTGTAAAATGAACTCTCAAGAGCCCTGTCCTTTGCTTCATCTTAGAGCAGAAAAGGGGATCAGACAAACAGCAGGGATCCTTCCTCTTCAGTAGTGGAGGAAAATCCTTAAAAGATGCCATAGTGTTAGATAGGTAAGGGTATTTCTTTTCTTCTCCTTTACACTTCTGTTTTTTTTAAGATACCAAGGGACCTTACACAAATACTGTATATTGTGGCAAATTTGGGAAGTTTCACAAAAAGTCAATAGTTACTATTAATTGTACCAAATTTACAACTACAATTTTTACAATACTTAATTAAAAATAATACTAAAGTTGATTAATATTTAATTAAAACTAATTATTACAAAAATGTTTTGACATTGGTATCAGAACATAATTCCTTGTATCCACAACACAATAATTAGTAATTATTGTTTTCCTTTTTCCCCCCAAATAAAACAGTATCATAATAAAAGAATTTAATTCATAAAACAGTTGTAATTTATAATACTAATTTTCCATTCCTTTTAAATCTCTTCTATATTGTACTGGAAATAGCTTCTCGACAGATATCCTAGTGCTGTTTAAGCTCTAGTTTGGGGGCTACTGGTCTGTTCCATTTACTTTCCACCAAAGGCTGTTGACTTCAGTTAAAATGTACATTGTTGGAGTTACCAGCTGTGAGTATAAGAGACTCCACAGTATAACATTGTGAAACTGAAGGAGATAGAAGCTGGCTGTCTGTCCTGCCAGCAACCTGTTTGGTCAAAAACCTTTTAAACCTCACCATACATAAAAAAAAAAAAAAAAAAAACTCCCAACAGGTCTTACTTCCTGGGTTGACGGTATATCCCCCATGAGAAAGTGTCCTAGGCTATCAAAGTGTAAACTGCTAAAACCTTTTGTTCTTGTTGGAATTTCCTCTCAAGGAGTTACAATCAACACATGAATGGTCTTCAGCAAACAGTAGTAATCTGACTTTATTCTTCCTGGGACTATGTAAATGAGGAAATATGCATAAGAAGAGTCAGCCTATTGACTCATTTCTATATAACAGTGGTCTTGCCCTACTTCCCTCAATGGCCATTCATTTTGTTTTAGAGTAGAACCTTAGCTTTAAAGATACCAAGATGATCTGAATTGACACACACAGTGCTTTTTGCCTTTTTTTTTTCCAGGGCCTTTGTTTGGGTGACAATGTCACCTCAGCCAAACAACTCCTGTAAAACTTCTTCAGGGTGGATTTTTCATTATGAGGTATTTTATTTAAAATATATAGAAGGTAGGAAGCTGTATTTTGGGGACATTTGTGACAGTGTCAAAAGAATGAGTCAGTAACAATCATCTATAAGTTAACAGTATGAAATATGTGGCTAGGGTACTAAAGTCACCTCATGATGCATTGTGTAATTATCCTTAACAATGCCTCCCTTTCTCTATTAGTGAGCTGGTAACCTAGGATTACTTTTTTTAACATGGCTGCTTAAGAAGTAAAGGTGGAAATTTAGTAAGTCTGCCATCTAAAGAAATGTTCCTTTCTTAATTCCAAAGCCATTTACATGACAACATTTTTCCCCTGTCCAAGTTGCTGATAATTGTTTGATCAAGACATCATGGTTGCTCCAGTTGCATGTTGTATAGTGAGTGCTGAGGCATTGAGTCTTCTGATGTATACTTCTGGAACATAATTTAAGCCTATGGTAAACAAGGGTTTGTACTTTTACAGTCTCAGATTTTCTTGAAATTCTACTTTTTTGTGTTCTGAAGACCATGAACACAACTGCTAGGACTTTGGCAATTTTAAAAAAACTCTCCTCAAGACACGAAAACGAGCTGTGGGTACATTTGATGACTTAGTGCTGCTCTCTGCCCTGTCTTTTTCCCCTCTTCAGGCCATATTGACACATCAGTATGTAATAGGCGCAAACAAACTTTTTAAATGCAAAAGTTGTCATTTGGTAGTACTGTGATGAAGCGGCCAGTCCATTAGGTTGCAGTCCTTGAATTAAAATTAAACTGTCTTATTTAAGTTTCCAAGTCATTCTTCTCTTTGCTAGTGCCCAAGGAGTCTTCTGACTCTCAACTCCCATCATACCCTAGTAAGCACGGCTACTGGCTGTGATAGTACCTGTCACCCTGGAAGGCAGCAGCTTGGAGAAAGTTGGCCTATCCTATTAAATAGTGGTTGCAAGAATAAGCTGGGTTAATAGGAATGCCATCCTAAACCTTTTGGAAGAGGGACAAATAACAGGGAGATTCAGTAGTGCACAGCTGTAGTAGTAGCTTTAATTTAGAACAGAACAGCTTTAAGCTTGATTACTACACCATTCTTGCTCTTGGAAACTGACTTCAGCTACCAAGACAACAAATACTCCTCTGAAGAAACTGAAAATAACTTTATTGTGAACATCAGTTTTTGTGTACTGGCATAACAGCTACAGAATATTGGCAGGAAAACTCCAAAAGAGCAACATTAATACATTCACATAAACACAAAAGTATTCAGTTGACCTCAAATAAGCCCAAAGTAACTTTTAAAAAAATCAATGTTTAGTGATCAGTGTGCTGGCTGCTCCTCCGTATGAGATTATAAAAATTGTGTATTTCATTCCAAAGTCATCACTGTAAAAAGTCTCATTGTTCAAGCTTCATGATGAAGAAATATTTCTCAATACTGGCTTCAAGTAGTTTTGGATCTCTTCTGCATTGCATTGAGTGTACTCTCTGAAAGAAGATCTTCAGTGATGAACAGGTAAGAAGTGACAGCTTCCCGTAGACCTAGGCTAATGGGATGATCTTCTGGTAGAGAACCTTCTACTACTAAGTCAGACCTAGACAAGAGAAAGCATTTCTGATTTAAAATGCTGCACACCAGAAAAGGACTTCCACCACTGTGCCTTCTTCACAGTGGCTGGCATGCAAAGACCTCCGCAGGCTGACCCTCCAAGGTTACAAATCAGATTTGGGAGGGGAGGACTTCAGGGGAATGGCAACTTGATGAAGCAGCAGTGAATGTTGCTGCTTTCTGCTTTATCACGTTTGGGTGATTATAAATTGCCTTTACGGGCGTTTACCTCTCTAAATGACAGGTGAGCCTCTACACTTTCAGCTCTGATTACATTGAGATGGCCTGTATAGAACATAAAACTGGAAACAGTTGACAAACTTAACCCCCCCATAGTTACGCCTCCTCGCTTTTCTTTTTAATCTTTCTTTTAGTTTTTATTTATTTTTATATTATGTCATTTTCATTGCCAAGGGAATAACACACCAGTTTGATGCAGCTTGAACTCTTAAGGCATTTTTGTTTGCATGTTTTGAAGGGACTCTGAAACGGATAACCTTTTGTTGATAGATGGCATCTCGTTTGCAAAGCTGTTTAATGTCTCTGCTCTTCCACTAAGAATCACGAATAGTGTAAACTGACCTTGGTATGAAAATACTACCTGGGGGAATTTTCGTGCTTAATTGTGCCTTGTGAATTGAGGAGGAAGACAATGGCGCTTTTCAGACAGCTGAAACTTCAGGCTGTGATTTTGGTTGTGATCCAGATTTTAAAGCATTTCTGTTTCTTGGAAAGGACTTTGAAAGGGGTACTCTTCTCCTTAATTTTGCAGCTGTAAATTATCTGCTATTATCATTCAGCAATCCTGGACATTATAAATTGACCTTGGCTGAAGCTCACTGCAGTGGAAGAGATGGTTGGTTCTCTCCCCATTTGTTGCCATTTTTAAGGACGTTGCTGGTTGGTTGAGCCGGGTGATTTTTAGTTGTTGTTATTGATCTAAATTATACAGTTAAATCTCCCTGATGGGGCTTGGGGGGTTTTTGCTGGTCCTGGCCCCCCTTAAGAATAAAAAATAATCCCAACGAACAAACATGATGTACTTTGAGAAGAAGGCTATTAGCTCCAACTATTGGATCTGGAGAAGATTGGAAGTCAAGGCCCCTTGTTATGAAAGTTGGAACAATGCCTCTTAAACTAATTCAAGCTAATATTTTAATAGAGCTAGAATTCTAATATTGATAGAAGGCTCACTGACTAGCTTCATCCACTTTCGTATTTTGTCCTTTTTTTTCTTTCTCTTCCCCCATCCCCATCTTTTTTTTTCTTTCCTTCTTTCTTGACTCTCCTCCCCTAACTTCTGCTTTAAGCTGTACTGTCAAATTGTAGTTTACTTATAGGTATGAAGAAATGTGAAAGGTGGAAGTGAAGAGGAGCAGAGAACAAAAGAGAAAAATTAAAGTGAGATGGAATCTGAATTGGATGCCGGAAAGTTGATGACAGATTTGAAAAGAAATACTTGTCTGAGCTGCTCAGACTGAGTTTTAGAGACAAAATGAAGATATTCTCAATATTAATCCATTAATTTTTTCTTTTAAGAGAATTACAGCAGTTTTTCATGAGTACTGTCAGAAAGCCTTTTAGGGAATATGTCAGAGTTAAAATTGTAGCTGATTCTAGACGGAGATCACCGGAGCCCCCAACAACTGAAGAATGGAGAAATGGACTGGTGGAATATGCTGTTTAGAAAGTGGTTAGAGGAATGTGCAGCATGATAACTGGATATGAGGTGTTAAGAAAAAATAAAGCTGCAGAGGTTCTGAAGGGATTGGAGGATTTGTTGTATAGATTAAGGATTTCTTTTGTGTTACATTTAATGGTGCGTTGATGGATAGATTTTGGGGGCTGATTGCAACTTTATTATAGTTATTCTATAAATATTCTATAAAAATAAAAAGAGCAGCAGGGGAAATAAACTTTATCTTACAATGCATTTAATTAAAATGATCACATTTCCCAGTCCCTGTTAGCAAGTGAGAAATGGCAGTTCTCTTGCAGTAGAAGTACTTCCATAAAACTAGGATTAAGTGTGCCTATTCCTGCCATCATTAATGGCTTAGAGACCACAACTGAATAACGTGGCATACATAGCATTGACCTCTACAGCTGCAAGGAACTTCTTCCACAGCATCGTCTTAAAGGTTTATAATATACTGGTCTTGCTGAGCTGAAGCATGTTCGGTCTAGATGGGAGACAGGCTGGGAATCCTTAGTATGCTGCTTTTAGCATATAGTGGCATATCTGCCTAGTTGTGCATTTCCTAACATCAAACGCCAAATTTTCCTAACACCAAATTAAATTTTTTTTGTAGATGAACACATATGATCACTTTGAGATATTGGAACAGTGCATACATAGTTCATGAGTCTAGTAGAACAAACTTAATCCCTTTTCATAAAAAACATCCCACTGAACACATTTGTGAACTGATACATTGTTCTCATTTTCTTGGGGGCTTGTGGTATTGCACATTATTTACGAAAGTAAACCTCAATGGCAATGAATGACACACAGTAACTTGTGCAAGATAAGAGCAGAGTCCATAAAATACACCAAGATAAGTTAGAACAATGAAACAAGGTTAAGAATTTGATGTAGGCATGTTCATGGATAAACAGTTCTAGTCCTTGTGGTCTTTTACAAGAGAGAATGTACCAGCAATTAGATTTGATCACCTGAAGCTAACTTATTTAAATTAAAAAGATCATTCTTAGCAACATTTGTCCACATTTCTATTTGATTTCTCTGAACCTATGCAATCTTACGTAGACCGCATTCTTTCAGATAGTGGTGGACACACAAATGAACAATCTTAATTTTAGATGTTTGATATAATGAAAGACTATCTTAGCCTTTTAATGAAATGAGTTGTGTTGTCTTGTTTGATATATAGATCACTGCATGTTAAATCCTGCTCAAACATACTTCCAGTCAGCTGTGCATGGCAATATTGTATGCCCAAGATATGAACAGGATCACTTTATATTAATCTACAAATAGCATACATTTGGCAGTTTTCTGAAGTGCATGATTGTGCAATATTCAGCTAAGTGACTGCACTATATGAGTTCCATTATTAATAAAAGTTGGATATTGTTATAATAAATACCTGTTAATTTCCTGCCAGTTTAGAACTGGCTTTATTTCCACTGGTTTTGAAACGTTGTGGAGGAAGCCTGAAGTAGATCCTTGAATCAAACATGACTCTCTTAAGCAGCAACACAAGCCTTCTCCAGTTTCTATGAAGCAGGATGAGAATAAAGTGGGCTTTCAGTATCCACTGAAAGAGAGAAAAGCTGCACTGACAGTCACACAATTGGGCCAGTTTTTCTGTGACATGAATGCTACTTAAATATATTGGTGGAAGCATCTCCTTACAAAGATGCCAGCTCCCAATATCCCCCCCACCCCCAGTAGCATGATCAAGAAACAGAATGCAGGCTAAACCTACTCAGGGACTTTTGTCACAGTTCCAGGGACAATTTGGCAGGAATAGCAGTAGATACATCCCAAAACTGCTTTCACTAAGTGTAGCTTCAGGCCCAGCTACTGAATGAAAACCAGTAAGCCATAGATTTTTTTGACAGACTGGTTAGCCAACCATCAGTTCTAGAGGCCAAGAAGAATCTGCTTTGTTGTCCAACAAGGTTTTGCAGTAAATGGGAGGCGGTGGATGTAGCCATATGTATTAGAAGCAGCCCTCCCTTTCAGCTCATTAATTTTAGTCCTAGCACTGAAACACTGTTCAATGGGGGCTTTTTGAACATTCAAATTTATAGTAGGGTACATAAGAACAGTCATGTTGGATCAGATGAAAGAGCCCTCTAGACCACCATTTGTTCACAACATAGTGAACGAACAAACGGCTGCCCATTGGAAGCCAACAAGCAGAGGACGTTAATAACTATAGGCCAGTGGTCAACATTCTCTTCCTGGGCAAGTTGCTTGAACAGGTAACGTCTGAACAGTTCCAGACACTCTTAGATGAAACTGACCATCTAGATACATTTGAAGCAGGCTTCAGGTCTGGTTTTGGTACAAATTCTTCCTTGGCTGCCCTGTGAGATGACCTTTGCAGGGAGAAAGACAGGGAGGGTGTGCCCCTGTTGATGCTTCTGGACCTATCAGCAATTTAATTTGAAATCAGCCATGGTATCCTAGATAGACTGGCTGGACTAGGAATAGGAGGCATTGCAGTGATTCCACTCCTATTTGACCAACTGATTGCTGAAGGTGGTGCTGGGGGATTTTTCTGTGCCTTGGCAGTTATGTCATGGGGCAGCACAGGGTTCTATTTTATCCCCTATGCTATTTAACGTTGACATGAAACTGGTGGGGGAAGTTATGTGGAGATATTAAGGTACCCCCAATATGAAGATGATGCTTGGTCCTACTTCTGTTTTTCATCAAACCTAGGTAAGGCAGTGGCTGTTCTGAATTTGTGTCTGAACTTGGGAATAGATTGGATGAGTTCTCACAAACAGACAAGTCCAAGGTGCTATTAGTGGGTGGTTCATTTGTCCAGTTGAGTGATTTTCAGCTTCTTCTGGATGGGGTTGCACTCCCCACAAAGGACAAGGTTTGACGTTTAGGGATGCTCCTGGGCCCAGAGTTGTCACTTGGGGCACAAGGAAACTCAGTGGAATGGAGCACCTTGCAACAGTTTAAGCTGATAGACTGACTACCACCCTACCTGCACAGAGAGAGCCTAGCTACAATTATCCATGCTCTGGTAACCTCTTGCTCTTGGTTGTGATCACTGCGCATCACACATGTGGACTCTGTCGCTCAGTACAAGGCCTAGATCAGAGAGAAACTTCTATAGCTCAGCATCACAGAGTGGATTACTACAATGTGCTGTACATGAGACTACCTTTCTAAATGGTCTGGAAATGTCAACTGATCCAGAACAGGGCAGTAAGACTGTTAACGGGGACTTGCTCACAGGAACGTATTATGCTAGCCCTTTTCCAGATACACTGGCTGCCAGTTGAAGTCCAGGTCCAATTCAAAATGCTAGTACTAACGTTCAAATTCCTAATTGGCTTGGGGCACATCGCCTCATCCCATGTGTACCAATCTGGACCCTCGGTCATCCTTGGAATTCCTTCTCCAGGAGCTCCTTCCAAAGGAAGTGAGGCAGGTGGCCACCAGACGCAAGGCCTTTTCAGTTGTGGCACACTGGTTGTGGACTGAGCTCCCCAAAGAGGTGTTCCTAGCACTTGGTATTATTTAAAGCCCCTGGTGAAGACCTTTTTATTCTCCCAGCATTTTAACAGTATAATTTTAAAATATTCATTTGATATTGCATTTTGTTCTATTGCAATAATCATTTTACTATTGCATTTTATTCTGTACATCTTCAGTGTTTCTATGCTGATTCAGTTCCTATTGTGTTTTGTTGCTTTATGCTAAATTTATCTCATATACAGTATTTGTGTGTTTTAATTTTTTAAACTTTTGTTAACTGTCCAGAGAGCCTTGGCTATTGAGCAGTATAAAAATAAAATAAGTAGGCCATGAGTCTAGCAGCACTTTCCCAGCCATGTTGCCATGGAACTTCAGTATGTAAATAAGGATACAGACTCCAGAGCTGGAGCAGCAATATCAACTAAGTAGCTATCAGTAACCTTCTCCATAAATTTGTCCAAACCCCTTTTACAGTCATCCAGGCTGTTGGCCACTGCTTCATCTTGTGGTCGTGAATACCATTGTTCAACTATGCACTGTACGTAGTACTACATCCTTTTACCTGTCCTGGATCACCTACCAATTAGCCTCATGGGTTCCATTTTCTCTACACCATGCATGATTTTACCCACCTCTGTCATGCCCCTGGTTACTTGTCTTTTCTTTAAACCAAACAATCCCAGATGCTGTAACCTTTCCTGATACAGGAGTTGCTCCAGCCCTAGAAGTTTTTCCTGCTGGCCACCAGAATCAAATGATTGTTTCAACTGATGTATATTTATGAAGCCAAATGATGCATTTTAAGTGCACATTTTTTTCTTAAGAGTAGATACCAGTCATTAATTTCTGCAGTAGCTCTTTTCACTGAAAGCCTCCAAAATGAAGTATTTGCAATATATATATTTTCTCTGCCCCACCTTTTAAAAAAGAAAACCAAGATTCTGCTACTGACTCAGCCATTAAAGATGAGACTTTTTCCCCCTATTTGTGACTACTGGAGGCAGCCACAAGCAGGAACAAAAGAGGCTTTTTCTTTTATAAAACCAAAATTGAAAAAAAGTAAAAAGTTACCAGAATAGAAATCCACAAGCTCCTGCATACTTGAGAAGGTGAGGCGTGGAGAGATATAAAGCCAGCTATTATCCAGGCAGTTAATGCGATAGTGTTTCACAGAATCTGGAGATGCAAAATTTGTGTGCCTGACAGATAAGGAGTAACCACCTGGTTGTGACAAGAAAACAAAACTGAGCAGCACAGCCAGCAGCTAGGAAACAAGCCAAGCCCAAATCACTCTTTGCCATGGCATGCAGTTACTCACAGGCACTGGAGTTCTCAGCATAAGAAAGGGGACTTCTAATAGCACACAATGGTCCTTTTGCATAATTAAGGAGCCCACCATTGATTATTAAAATCATAGCACCAGCGGATGGTCATTTGAACAATTCAAGCCACAACTGCAGCTTGTTGGGTCATTCACATTTTGCAAGGGTGGGTTGTTGGTGTGGTTAACCAGCCAGAATCCATGGGCTGATTTAGGGTTGTGAGCAGTTCGTTAACCACAACAAACAACAACCCACCCTCACAGGATTTGCATGACATGGCAAGCTGTAATCATAGCGTGAATATTCAAAAGCTACCTGGCATAAACCACAAAATGTCATAGCTTGAATAAGCAACAGTGGGCTGCAATGATCAACGTCTTTCTCCAGCTAAGGCTGGTTTACCAGCTGCAACCTCTTCTGGGGTGAGACAACCTAGCTACACTTGAGGTAGTAACATCCTTTGCTGGACTGCTTCAATGCTTCAACCCTGGCCTTTCAAGACTTCCTACAAGTTCCGTTAGTAGAGAATACAATATGCTTGCTCAGTTGCTAACTGGAACCACCTACAGGAATCCATCACACTACTATATCACCAATTGCAGTGGCTGCTGGTTTGCTAAAGGTCACAGGCCAAAGTGCTGGTTGTTCTCCATGAGACCACCACTGCTATTGTTGAATAAGTGGGAACTAGGCATCCTTGTTGATCTACTGAAAATAAGCCAATGATATACTAGTCAATTCTGCTACTTTCTGCTTGTTCATGCTATAAAAGACCAGTTTAACAGCTCTGGGGTGTTGATTTGACCCAGCATCATCAACTTCCTGTGATGCTCATACTTGATACTCTAAAATGTCCAACAGTCAAGTGTGATGATCTGTCACTGTGTGCTTTGTGACACCATCAGATTCCCAGTTATCTCACCAAAGCTAGAAATGTACTGGGTGGCCTTTGGCAAGATCCTTTATATCAGAGAACATTCTTGTGTATTTTACAGGGCAGTTGTCAGGGTAGCAAGATGATATAGCCAGAACTCCAGGCAGTTAAAATGTGCTAAATGAAAACACAAACTATCCTCTCGTATTTCTAGAGTTCCCCCACTTATCTATTAAGGCAGAGGTGTTTGGTACCTTTCCTGGTTTGACTCTCCCTTATCAAGAAAGAGCCTTCACAGTTGGAAGGCAGCAGCAGCAGCTCCTCTGCTTTTGCTCTGTCAATGCCCTTGTAGAGCCACCTGAAATGCAACAGTACTCCACAGTTAGTGCTCCTCACCTCATGGAAGGTGCCCTTAAGCGGGAAAGGAAGTTGGGTTGGTTCCTCCAGGGGGTCATGGTCCTCTTTATGGGCTTAGGTGGCTCTTTGCATGTGCTCTCAAAGCTGCTGTGCTGCTATCCAGCACCCTCCCAAATCTATGCTGTTCTTCCATCAACAAAACCCCCACAGTTCCTACCTGTGAGAGATTTCAGCTATGTGGTTGCTGGGAATGTAGCACTGTTTGCCAGTTGTGACTGACTCCACTTTCCGCAATTCACCATCTCTACAAAAACATACCATAACTTTAAAGCCAGGAAATTGAGCATAAAACCTTTTCCATATAAACTTTCTTGGAGATCTTCCTTTGGTATATAGATCAATAGGACTTTGCCATGAAAAATTACAATATTCTCTCTGTGGGGCTTCAGCTAACGTCCAAAGGAACTTAAGCACAAATGATGGTGAGACCAGCCTTCCTTTTGGGGATGAGATGCCCTCTTTTGCAGCCTGTTCAAGGACTGCCCTGCCCTGTCCTAGTTTAATGACCGAGAACCACAAAACTTGCTCATCCACAGCTGGCACCAGAGCAGCAGACAGAGCCAGGCCTGGTCATCTGGCCACAGCTTGCACATAATGGTGAGATGTACTATAGCTCCGCGATAATGATAATCTCGCATATAAATAGATATCAAAAAGGAGAAAATGAATCACTGCAATATGCATTTGCTGGTATACTAACGTATGCAAATGTTATAAAAAACAATATTCTCCTTGAAGCGACACAGCTCCTCCTTTTGACAATTCAAATGTTCCCACCCCCTGGGGCAGATGTTGAAGGCTTCAGTGTAGTTCCCTGACTTGGTGCGTGCCTCAAGGCAGTTGTGGAAGAGGAGCCACAAGAGTCCCATCCTTCAGCTTCCCTGTTGACACAAGTACTCACTCAGACAGCAAGGTCAACTGCTCGCCCATCCTGAGTATCGGCTCAGCATGCCCAGAAGGGAAATCACACACCATGACAGCTATAGGGGTGTCTGCATCTGCAAGTTGTGGGAAAAGGTATGTGTGTGACTTTGGAGTATGGCTACAAAACATTCTACATGGGGTTTTCCTTGAAGTTGGTCATGAACACAGGAGGTTTGGCAGAAATAGGCTACCTTTTGGAGCAATTGGCAATTTGAGAAACTAGACTAAAATGGCTGTCATGAAAGGTGTGACTAGTCACAACAGACAAGCATGTTGTTAGGGTACTGATGGGAGCTAGTCCCTAAAAGTGTGGCATGCACTTGATTACAGTTCTTTCCATACAAAGTAGGAGGCTCTGTTTATGACCTTCATAGCACTATAGTCAAGAGTGGTCTTAATGCATCACTTGTTTGTTGTGGTCATTTTTGTCTATTGCTGGCCTGTTTCTTATTTTGCAACCTTATGTTGTACTAATTAAGTTTATCAGATTTGACAACATTTTGGGTTTTAGTGGCCTGGCTGCTTGTCCTAAAATGAAAATGGGAAATTAAAAAATACTTGTGTATCATTTATGTACACAAGGAAGGTGTACATTATATACTAACTAGTATATAAATAGAAAAAGTATATAAATATACTTTTATAGTATATAAATACAGAAAAAGGAGAGGAGATGAAGGGAGGAGTTGGGTCAAGAGAAGTTCTGTTCTGCCCCATATTCCCAGATTCAACTAGGCTGCCATGTGTGAGCAATGGATGCATGTTGGCAGATTGTCGTACTCTTTAATATCAAATCTATGGGGAAAAGGGAGAATATTGCCTGTTTAAAGTCTCACCTCAGCCACAAGCTAAGGAAATGGACTGAAGCATGGTCTTGGAGCATTGTTTGTCTTAATACTGACCTAACATATATAAGCAGTTTTGCATACCTCACACACATCATCTGGATAATCCTTACATGAAGTTTTGTAACTATGAAATCTATTACAGATACAATAAGTTCACAAAGATCTGCATACTCCTAGATCCCAGTTCTTTCCTTAGATTTCAGTTGTAAAATCCTCCAAGGTTATTTATTTGTTTTGATCTCCTTGGAGAAAGGAAGGCTACAAGAAGTGATTGAGTTTCACTGCCATTTTGAGAAGCAGATTAAGCCAAAAGATCCATTCTCTGTGGGTGTTTGGATCTGGTTTTGCCCGTAGAAGTCAGGTGTTCAGTTTGCTTTAACTGACACTAAGATTCTAGGACACTTGCTCGCAGAAATAGATGATCCCTCGCTTTTTGCACACATGGCGCAGAGGATTATTGTGTTCATTAATTTCTTATTCTGACAAAAGGTGATGTAGAACAGTAAGCAGAATCTTCCATTCTTAGTGGCAGACAGACAGGGATGACTCTGCATGACCCAATTTTCACAAACGATGAGGTGGTAAACCAGTACCTTGCCTGTGTCACTTCAGAAGTGGGAGCTCGCTTGACTGCTTTACTCTGTAAAGCAGAGTAAAAAAAAAAAAAAAATCCCAGCCCACCAAAAATAAGGTGCCAAAAAAATCCTATGTTTTGACATCTAGTTCTTTTTGCAGAGGCATATAGCATTCAGCATTATATCTGCAACCTGAAATTAAGTTCTAGGCTTGCCAGTTATTTTGCTGTTTGCCAGAACTAACCCAAGATGCCAACTCACTCAGTTCCCAAGCTTAACATTGGATAATACCAACCTGGAGGCCTGACACCAAGGCCTGGGGCTTGGCTGCTCTGTGTGTCTGGCTGTGGGCTTCCTGCTGCTGGAGTAGCAATCGGCTTCCTCCTGCTGGACAAACTTCCCATTACAATCACTGCTAACTGGTGGGGCTAACTTTAGGCAACAGTAGTCTTCTGAGACAGCACAGAGACCTTCTAACAAAACACAGAACAAAAAGTGTTGTGCTATCAACCATCTTTCTGAACTTCTCACACATACACCTGTATTACATTTCCCTTCAAGATAGAAATGCTTCTGTATTTTCAAACTAAGTACCACTCTAGATTGCGGGCCTGGAAGCTGCTCTTTCTAATGCTTCGTTCCATTTAGACAATGTGCCCCCAGAGGATCCTGGACATGGAACTTTTATCAGCGATTCCTCACTGTTGGTCATGAGGAAGTATCTGCCAAGATTCTGGCTGTTCCTGCTTTTGCAGTGTGCTAGAAACATGAAGTCCCCATAAATTGAGCCAAACCACCATATGCTAGACCTTAAACTATTAGAAGCTTATTCACTTGCTAGACGCCTTCAGGGAAGTTAACTTGATTCAGTGGCTGCACCAGAAAACCCTGGGAATGACACACAAAATCAGAAAGGAATCATGGCCAGTTTTTCCTGCTGGAGGCAATGAACACTTCTCAGGAGTATCTATGTTACTGGAGAACTGAAGAAGTATGGCAGCTCTGCAGGGTACGAGAACAAAACATGGCTCATGTTTGAAATACTGCAAATATTGGGGTCTAGTAGGTCTGATACCTCACCCTCACTTGAGATGGGCATAACTTTTAGCCTAGAGCTGGAGAACCTATACACTTCCAGATGCTGCTGGACTACAATGCTCATCATCCCTGATAATTGGCCTTGCTGACTGGGCTTAGTGGGAATTGCATTCTAATATCTTGTAAAGCCACCAGTGTAATTAACAAAGCACCTACATATTCCTTGATCCCAGTTCTTTCCTTAGAATTAAGTTGTACTCCAAAGTGATTGATTTCTTGCCCTGTATCCTTCCTCTCTCCAAGGATCGGAATAGTGGATACAGGTTTCCTAGCCCTGCTTTAGCCAAATGCTTGATTTATTCCATTGCACTCTTTCTCTTTTTAAAGTGACTTTGAGCTATACAGCTGAGGAGGAGAGGAGGCCAAGGCAGTTAAAGTGGCTTTTATCTCAAAGCCTGAGCTAAATAGGAAAATGTGCAAACAAATATATCCATATCCATCCATATCCAAACAGAGCAACCAAGAGTAGTGAAGGAATTAGGGTTACAAACTGGCAAAATAAATTTTAAAGGTCTGATAAAGTGATTTCATCTATAAAGCTTTCTAGGATTCAATTGCAAGCAACAAAAAAGAGCACAGAGAAGTTGTGCAATAAAAGCAGGTTGCTTACCTGTAACTGATGTTCTTCGAGTGGCCATCTGTGCATTCACACATATGGGTGCTGCACCTGCACAGTGCCTAAGGCCGGAAAGATTAGAAAGCTAATGGTTTTTGGCAGGAAAAACTCCGCTCCCCTCCCCCTCAATACTATATATAGAGCGGAGTGTCCGCCATTTTCCCAGCCTTTATAAGACCGATTGTTCGCCCTCTCTCGGGAGAGAGACATATTACAATAAGTCCATTAGAGACCATAACTATTCAGACATGGTACCGACAGAAAGAATCCACTCACCGACACCCAGTGGAGCTGGCGGGTGGGTTGTGTGAATACACAGATGGCCACTCGAAGAACATCAGTTACAGGTAAGCAACCTGCTTTTCTTCATCGTGGCCTCTGTGCATCACACATATGGGTGACTAGCAAGCTTACCAGACTCGGAGGAGGGCAGTGTCGTCATTGAAGGATGGCGGAGAGGACTGCCCTACCGAAGAAGCAATCCTGTCTGGCATGCACATCACGGCGATAATGCCTGGCGAAAGTGCATGGAACAGCCCAAGTTGCAGCTTTACAGATGTCTTGAATCGGGATTCCCGTGGCAAAGGCAGAGGAAGCTGCTACTGCTCTCGTGGAGTGACCCCTCGGAATGACAGGTAAGTCCATCCTGGCAAGTTGATAAGCCAGTACAATAGTTTGAACAATCCTTTTTGAAAGTCTTTGCAATGTGACAGGAGAGCCCTTGTTCAAAATATTTCATGAAGAGTCAGTTAGAATGCCGAAAGGACTCTGTACGCAATCTGTAGAATGCTAAGCAACGCCGCACATAGAGGGTATGCAGAGATCTTTCAATCGGGTTCAATGGTGATGGAAAGAAAGCAGGTAAGACGATTTCCTGATTCATATGGATTTATTTATTTATTTAAAACATTTTTATGCCATTCCCGTCTCAACAAAGCCTCGGGGCGGCTCACAACAAAAACAAAATATACAAATATAACAATTATACAACAAAAATATTAAAACCCGGTGCATCTCGACTTAAAAGATTTAAAATCCTATAAAGACCAATAAATTAACAATTAAAATAAGTTTTAAATAAAAAGGTCTTAGGGCCGAAAAACAAATAACAACAGCGCCAGGAACGGAGTGACTACTTTAGGTAGAAACGTTGAATCCATTTGAAGAACCACCTTCTCTTTGTGGAAATTCAAATAAGGTGGATCTACTTGAAGAGCACGAAGTTCACTAGCTCTCCGAGCCGACATAACGGCTACGAGAAAGGCCGTCTTCCATGATACGAGACATAGGTCAATAGTTGCCAGAGGTTCAAATGGAGCTCTGGTAAGTGCTTGAAGTACCACTGAGATACTCCAAGTAGGCATGACAGGGCGAATTGAAGGATGAAGATTCTGTAGTCCTTTGATGAATCTTCTAGTAAGTGGTTGTGAAAAGACCAATGAACCTTGCACCACACCACAGTAGTAAGAAATTGCCGCTGTGTAGTTTTATGGATGATGGCTTAAGTCTCGAATGATGACGCTCTAGAAGAAACTGTAGTATATTCTCGATCGAAGCCGATTCAGGAGCAAACAGATGGAATTCAGTGAAAGATGAAAATCAGTGCCACTTTGCTGCATAAGATCTCAACGTTGATGGTCGTAGAGCAGATTTGAGAATTCTCTGAATATCCAGATCAAGAATCCTCAATCCCAAGGCTAAGTCTCTCGGATCCGAGGAAGGAAGCAACGTATCGGTTCTGTAAGTGGGAAGTACCGAGCGTCTGAGTCATCGTTGGCACCGAGTCGGTAGTGACAGTCATCAAATTCACTAAGCCATGAGGCTCAAAGAAGTCAAGTCCGGGTGACGGACAGCTCCGTCCTGCTGTGTTATTACATGAGGTATGGATGGTAGGCAGAGAAAGGTGTTGTCTGACAGCCGGAGGAGGGCGGAAAACCACGTCTGACGGGGCCACCAGGGTGTGATCAAGATTCCCGTGGCGTCGTCGTGGATAATCTTCGATACGACTTTCGTTAAGAGAGGAATCGGAGGAAAAGCATAAAATTTGATGTTGGACCAAGGGATCATGAGGGCGTCTCCTGCTGACCCTGGTCCCATGCCTGCTCTGGAGCAGAACATTTCGCATACCCTGTTCTCGTGGGTAGCGAACAAGTCCATGTCTGGATGTCCCCAAAGTCGGAAAAGTTGATTGCAAACCTGTCAATCTAACTCCCACTCATGAGTCATCAACATTTGCCTGCTCAACATGTCTGCTTCCTCGTTGTTGGTACCAACTAGATGAACCGCCAGAAGGCTTATGTCCCTTGGGATGCACTATTCCCAAATCTTCATCGACAGCTGAACTAGGATGGCAAATTTCATCCTGCCCTGCTTGTTGACATAGAACACAGCGACTATGCTGTCGGATGTAATCTGAACCACTTGTTGCCGAACAGTATCCTCGAAGGATCGAAGAGCTTTGAAGATCGCCAGAAGTTCAAGGTAGTTGATATGTCTGGCCAATTCCTGTTGGTCCCAAGTGCCCTAAGTTCAATGTCCTGCACATACGGCACCCCACCCGAGCAATGAAACATCAGTATAAAGAGTCAGGGTTGGGTGAGACGGTTGGAACGGAACACCCATATTCAGGTTGTTTGATACTGTCCACCATGCCAATGTGCGTAGAATGGATAGTGGGAGCCGAATTGGTTTGCTGGGTGAATCCCACTGTGGATGAAACATTCTGTTGAAGAATAGTTGAAGAGGACGTAGTCAGAGTCTTGCATGAGGAACAATGGCCACCGAAGGGGAATTGAGACAAGTTCCAATGAAGTTGATCACCTGCGCGGGAGCAAGGGATGATTTTTTACAATTAATACACAGTCCTAAATCGTCCAGCAAAGTACAAGTTATGTCAACGGCTGAGAGAAGACCTTCTCGGGTCTGGGAGACTATCAACCAGTCGTCTAGGTAAGGATATACTTGGATACCCTGAAGCTGAAGGTGTGCACACACTGGAGCCATGCATTTAGTGAAGACTCTTGGAGCAGTGGCTAATCCAAATGGAAGGACATTGAATTCAAATATGTCAAACCCAACAGGGAAGTGTAAGAGACGCCTATGACAGGGATGAATAGAGATGTGAAAGTAGGCATCTCTCAAGTCCAGGGAGGCAAACCAATCCTCTCTCCTCAGCAACGGAAGGATATTTTGAAAGGTAGTCATCCAAAATTTTTTAGGTTTCATAAACCTGTTAATATCTTGTAAGTCCAGGATTGAACGGAGACCACCATCCTGTTTAGGGACTGCAAAATATCTTGAATAGAATCCATGAAGTCCCTCAGAACAAGAGAGCTGTCGAATCGCTCCTTTACGAAGTAGTTGGCAAATTTTGTCTACTAACACCTGTCGTGGAGTGCAGCCCGGTATGTAAACAATCCACACATTCCAGAGCAATAAAACTAAAGTCCTTTAATGCTAATTGTCTACAAGATTTACAACTCTATAGATAAGTTCCCTAATAGCAGTCCTAGCTAAGCAGATGTTACTCTCTAATGGCTTCTCTTCCTAAGCCCATGTGGGATCATTCTCCCAAGTCACGCCTTTCCTCCCTCTTACGTAATAAACTTTGCCACTGTTTATATCTGCGTAAAATACATCTGTTTTTGGCTTTTGAGAAATCCACGACACC